GTAGTTCATGTTTTAGAAATGAAGAGCAAGATAACCAATATTTCAAATATTCTTACTTTATGAATGAAAGCTGTTTTGTTTTGGCCTGGTTAGATGTCCATACCCACACTCACACTACATAACAAACCTGTTTGGCCAGGATAAATACCTTCCAGGCTACTATAGAGAATATTAATTCTGAATGAGCAAAATTTGTCTGGAATAGGAAAAGGGGGATTTGTTTCCAGCCCTCAAGACTATCTGAAAGAATATATAGCCCCTAAAATATTCACACCTAGAAGACACTTTGCTCAAGAAACTAAAGCAACTCAACAAAACATGCTTATAAGAAAGTCCTATAGACGAGAGTGAGTAACTAAAAGCAGCAAATGGAGCAAAGACATGTGGATAAGCAGTTCTGGTTTTTTGTGCACAGAACAAGACTCCCTTATATTGGCCAAATCATGCTTGTGCCTGAGTCAGTGGATTCCAAAGTGGGTTTCACGTCTTTCAAGAGGGGTGTTCAGCATCAGATGAACCAGTGAGGAGGAAATACAACTTTTTTTCAATCTAAAAGTTTTATATAGTCTAATACATAAATTGACATAAATTGATTCTATGGGATGCAGTATAGAATAATGGAAAAAGCCAATCAACCACCAGTAATGGTTTAAGCCACTTAACCTTGGGCAAGTTAATTTTGTGCCTCTATTTCTTCACCTATAAAATTGACAAAATAACAAACCTAACTCAAAACATTGTTAAGATTAAACAAATTAATATTTGTAAGTCACGCAGAACAGTGCCTGGTACAAAGAAATCACTATATAAATATTAGCTTTATTATGTCAGATGATCACCACAGTATGTCGCATATCCTGAGAGGATATTCCTAAGGAATCCCAAAAGAAAAGTTTACTCTTGGAAGGGTTTACTGTTTCATTCACTTTCAGAGAACTGTGGAGTATTAAAGCATCTAAGGATCTGCTTATATGAACTTTTAAAATTATATTTTCTAGTTTTAGGTAAACTAGTTCAGAAAGTGGACAAGTGGCTTAAAAAGATTATGGCAGAGAATTAAAAAGATAATACACAATCTGCAAATAGGAAGGAACTGACAGTGTTGACAGTTTTTGGAAAAAAAAAACTTTTGTTCAGTCATTATGAAGAAAAAACAAGACCATCTAATCACAGAAGCAAAAAGTTTAAAAAATTAAATTATTAAGGAAGCTATATATTAAATATATACTTTCATTTATCAAATAAAACCCTAAGTTAAAAAAATTATGCAACTATGACTTCATACCCTCTATCATTAATTATCAACTTTTGCCCTAAATTTATATACTCCCTTGTCTGAAAACCTTGGGAAGATGTTTAGGATTTAGTATTTCTCAATTTATTTTTGTAAGTTATTACAGTGCCATGCCATATGTTACTAATATTCCCCTGGCAGGATCTCAGGTAGCATCCCATAACCTAATACATTAACATTTCTGCAGAGAAAAATAGAAACATTCATGCTAAGTAAGATAAATGAAGATCATAAATAATCACTTGTGGCAACATATCCTTCTATAAAATGTTATTTACATACTATCTTAAGGTCTGAAGACATATGTGGAAAAAGAGACAAACATATCAAACACATTACTCCATTTTCAAAAGAAACTAATAAGAAATCGGTGGAAGCATTGGCTCGCACAAATCATGGTGGATTCAGTGGGGTCCCAGAATGATACCATTTGCCCAAAAAAGCCAACTGTCAATATAAGTGGAAAATGAAGAGAACTAGATCCAGTCATAAATTTTTATGCTAAAACATTGGAAAGCTTGAGGTCCCATAGCTAGCATCAATGTCACTGATTAGCTGGAGTCAAAGCCACTGTTGGGTGGTCACACTCCTGGAGTCTCCAGGAGCATTAGCTCTTCCAGGCATGGCTTTTGGTCTTGATGCTCTGTTGTGTCTAGTTGCTGCAGCTCCATGGGGAACCCCTTGCCACCCTCAGCCTGGAAACACAAAGAACCACTCCTTTGTTCTGCCTCTCTCTAGGGTCTCCTCCCTGCTGCTGTGGGGGGAAACCCAGTCTTTAGACAAGTAGAAGAATCTATGGAAACCCCAATAGCTGGGAGAGCCACAGAGTAGACCTCCTGCTTCCAATGTGTTTAATCAAATGGCCCAAATATCTTTATTTCCTTAGGTTTGTTTCCATTAAATTCAATTAGATTTTTTTTTTCTCCTAACAAGTAACTTCTTTTGAGATGGTGAATCTATCTTGGATGATTAATATAGTTTAATACAATTTTTCTTACTAATACCTGGATTGGCCACATTTGTGTTCAATTTTCACTTTAATAAAACATGTATTGAGCACCTATTAATGTGCCAAGCATACTAAGTGGGCCAAATATATACCATAAATAACTTCATGGTAGCACTAGTTGGCTTTTCACACCCAATGAGCTCCCTGCCATCAGCAGGATGGTAGGATAAGGGTGAGGGGCATGGGGAGAAAGACACTGAATGAGTCGTGACAGAAATGATCAATGCCATGAAAGAGGAATGAAGGATGCTGTGCCAGCTTATACCAAGGGAATTTAACTAGTTTGGGGTCAAGGAAGAGTAACCCAAGTGGAGACTTGGGGTTGGATACGCTAATGTCAACCAAGTGAAGGTGGGTGGAGACTCCAACCCAGATACAATGACTGTGGGTTGGGCAGTCTGGCTCTAGGGGGTCCTGTGGATTTTCATCATCATGTCAAGTGAGGTGGCAGATGTTAAGCAGGGAACAGTCTCAGTTAACCTGAATTTTAAATAATCACTCTGCCTGCAGTGAGAGAATGAAGTGGACATGGCAGGGATTGGAATCAATCAGGAATCCATAGCTTAGCTAACGGATGATGGAAGTTTAAACCAGGATTCGGACACCAAGAAGCCAAAACACATAGGACTTAGTGATTTATTATTTATAGGAGGTGAAGAAAAGGAAGACCCCCAGGCTTCTGGTTTGAACAATGAAATGGATGGTGAAAGCCTATACTAAGGGGCAGGTTGAGGGAGTAAGGTGATGAGTCTGAGTCCTCTGAGATGCCCGAGAGACATGTGAGGGTGACAGCTATGCGGTAGCACTTGGGCGCTGGGGGGAGATGCCAATGTGGAGCCATCAGTATTAGGATGCTAATCACCTAGCAGGTGTGTGAAGAGTGAAAAAAGAGGATGTAATATAGGATGTGGAAATCTGAGAATTAATGGATGTGACCAGGTGGGAGAATTGGCAGGCAAGGGAGACCAGGAAGGAATGGCCAGGGGAGTGGGAGGTAAGCAAGAAGAGGGTCCAGGGTGATGTCACAGAAAATACAGGTGGAAAAGCATCCCTGGACTTGGCGACCTTGGAAGTCATGCACTAGTTGCTTCAGTGAAAGCATTTTCAGGAGAGGCATGTGGGTTGAAAGGTGAATGTGAGGTGAGGAAATAAACTACAATGTACAGGTGACTTTTTCAAGAACTAGGGCTATAAAAGGAAAAACAGAGAAAGTTAGGATCATCTAGAGGAGAACCAGGGGTTGAGGGGGCAGTGTTTGTTTTGTTTTTAGGTAAGAGAATTAAGTATGTATTTCAAAGTTGATGGGGATGAGCCAGTAAGGGAATAGAGACAGAAGAGAGAGGGGATAATGATTAACAGAGGATTCCTGATAGGAGCAAAGGGACTGGGATCCATAGTCCAGGGGAAGAGTGACACTTCTTCCATAGTGACAGCAAAGGAGGAACAATGACTACAGGTCTACAGATATTTTGTGGGAGGTCAAGGGAGCACATACCTAACGGATACCAGCTTCCCTGTGTGGCAGGAGACAGACTCAGCTCTGAGAGTCAGCCATGGGGCAGGGGTTGAGGTCTGAGGGATGCTTTTCTAGAGAATAGGAGCAGAGCTGGTCAGGGTAGCATAATGGGTCCAACTGAGGGGGGAGGCATAACCCATTCACGGTGCTCCTGTCCACCTGGATGTGGCCCTCTGCAGCTTGCATGCAGTTGAGTGGCCAGCAGATGGCTGGATTCATGCATCAGAAGAAAAAGATGGCAGAGGAGTTTAGGGTATTGGTAGGAGAGGGATGATAGGGATGGGCCATGTAATCTAGGCTGGATGGAGAGGTAAGTACAAGCAGGGAAGTGATTAGGGGGTGCGAAGAGAGTCAAAGGAAATGGACTTCTAAGTGAGGAGATGGGTGTATTTGGAGTAAGAAACATTTGGGGTTCCAAAGACAGTCAGAGGCTTGGGCTCTCAGGGGGCCTGGGGCTTAATAGGGATGAAGATATATGCAAACCAGACAAGCTCTGCCAGATGAATCTCTTGCCAAGACCAGGCTTACACCCAGGAAAAGGAAAAGAAATGCAATGAGGAGCACAGGGCATGGATGGAATTGTAATAACCCCACTTCTTTGTGATTAGGTAGGGCATTACACAAAAAATTTAGAATTTGAAGGTTTTAGAAATCTTGTTTGGAAATCTCACTTCTAAAGAAACTCATTCCTGTAATGAAGGCTATAACAGGAAAGTGACATGCTCAGCTAGAGGAAGCCAGAAGTTAACCAAATACAGTTCAAGATTCAGCTTTGAATTCTACTCATACCTGCCAAGGACTTGCCATATGACGTAATAACATAGTTTTTTAAGATAAAAGATTTATTGGTGCTTCCTCTACACCAGGCACTATGCTGAGAACTGTGCACACTTATTTCATTCAATTGTCACAACTCTTTGAAGTAGATACTCTTATTATCCCTGTTTTACTAATGGGGAAACTGAGACCTAGGGAAGTAAGCGGTGAGCTGGGTCTGCTTGCCAGTATTCCTAATTTTTCAGATAAGAATGATAATGCCATTTGGGACATTATGAGGAGTGAACAAAAAAAAATGATGGTGTAGTTCACAGAAAATTAAGTTCACCTAGATTCAAAATAATAATTTTGATTGCAGGAGGGCATCAGTTGGATTAAAAAATGTTTTAAATCTCAATACCAACCTATGTTTCTCTGAATTAGCATGCACTCCCTCTCCTTTGCAGAAAAATGGCTTCTGCTTGAGACATCAAAGTCAAAGCAGTATTTATTCCTCCCCATGTCAAACAAAGTGCAGTTGAACACTGTTTTCCTCTCTCCCAACATCAGGCTGTTTTCAGCCAGTTGAATGGTCCTTTCCCCAGGGTGTCTTGGGGCCTCCTTGAAGACTGTGATCACTCCTTGGACAAAGATGCATGGTGGAGGCAGTACCATCACCTCAACCCTGGACTCACACGTCAGTTCTGACACCATCACCAGTTTGTACCCAAACTTCTGGGCCAGGTCAATGGGTCCTGTAGAGGTAATGATCGAGTCTCGGCCAAGCAGCTTCAGCACCACAGTGACATAGGCTTCTGGCCCCACGGGTGCACAGCCAAACTCAACCCACTGACCTTGAGAGAGTTCTGTCCTCTTGCTGCTTCTTATCTCTAGCGGCTGACTTGGACTCGTTCTTGCCTCAGGAAGACTATTGGTAAAGATGACGTCCACCAAGATGTCAGGTTGGTCTACGGGGAATGAGCACAGTGGTTGACTGGTAAAAAGACCCACCTGGAAGGTGCCTTCTGTTGCCTTGGATGTCCTATTCAAGTCAATGTGGAAGACAGGCCACTTGACCTTCAGAAAGGCACTTTGCTCCCACTGGTGGACTGGAGTCCTGTTGTCAGCTGTGTCTGGAGTCATCGTGAACCAGTAGTCTCCAGCCTCCTTGAAGTAGAAGCATTCAAACTCGAGTGTTCCCTGTGACTGGTTGGTCAGGAGGTATTTGGTGATAACAGTCTGATTGGTGTTGGCCTCCAACAATAGGATAGATACATTCCTCAGGGTCCCATTAGCACCACTGAAATACTGGAAATCCACAGACACCGTGCTGTTGCTTAGAGCTACATGGCCTGGCTTTCCCAAGAGGAGATAGTCAGCTTCTCCCAGAACTGAAACAAAAGTGTCAGAATTGGTTTTACAAAGAGATCATGGAGCAGCGGTACTGGTGACATTGAAGAAAACAGCATTTTATACGTAAGAGAAGTATGAACTCAGTCAAAGAGGAGGTACAATGATGCTGAGTGCTGGTCCTGGGCCAGTCATGCTGAGCCCTGCCTGCATCATTCCCCATTCTAACATAGCTCTGGGCCTTCATCTTTGGCTTTCATGGTTATGTTTAAAACAATGATTCAAGGTAAATACCCTGAATGTACCACATTCAACAATGTAACCCATCTACAGTGAAAATCCATAAAGCAAGAATAACAACTGACAATTCTCAAAATGTAAATCCGATACCACACTTTCCTCATCTCAATCTGTTAAAAAGAAAAGAAAAGCCCAGATGAGGACATTTGCCCCCACCCAGGACAGGAAACCAAGACTTAACTGCAGTTTCAACCTAACCCCTGAATGTGGCCTTGCCTCTGTCAATCCGAAAATTCTTGATCCGCACTAGTGAGGTTACCACCACCATAAAAAAAAATTGTTGACCACACCCCCCTCACACACACACACAAAGAAGACTCCTGGACTGAAACAATCCTTTCTGTTCTTTTGCTAATAACTTCTTGCCCCACCCTCCTTCCCATAAAAACCTTCCATTTTGTGCAACTCCTCGGGCCATCTCTACTTGCTAGACGGAATGGTGCCCAATACATGAATTGCTTAATAAAGCCAATTAGAGCTTCAAATTCACACAAGTGAGGTTTGTTGTTTGTTTGTTTGTTTTTAATAAATCATATTCTGGTGTTTAGGTCTTTTGGGGAAATGGATACACAGTAAAGTGAGAAAATTTGATTTAAATGATGTAGTACAAACTGCTCTAGATTACTTAAAATGGAAGCCCCTAAATATACCTCAAAGTTATCATTTTCTTGATATTCAAGACAAGTACTTAGGCATCTTCACCAGTAAAGGAACCTGTTCTGTTGGTTTGTATGAAGCAGAAGTTTTTAGATGAATAAGAAATGTTGACACTTTATTCTCCATGGGTCACCCAAGGGACAGAGTGAATAAAGTTTATGACACAGCCAGGCTTGTCCTTAGCAATTTTTAATGACATCACAGCTAGCCTAGAAGTGATAGATAACTACTAGTCCACAATTATCACTTAGTTATGATTAATCATAGCTTTTTAAAAAAGAGACACATCAGAGCAGCTGAAGTAAAGAGTGGAAAAAAAAAAACCACAAATACACAGGAATCCTTGTTTCTACTTTGAACCCTATCCAAATACATATCAAAGGAGACAGAATTTGGCAGTGCATCAATCAGCTGGCCCATGGCTAGGATAAAAAAATTCTAGATTTAAGACACTGCAGGGCTCTTTTGGCTGGAAAAATAACATGTGTAAGTATTATTATTCTTATTAGGATTGTCTTATATAATACACACATATTATACTGTATCATATATATGTCCAAAGGGCCTCAATATATTTTTGGTCTGGTCGTCTTTAAATCTACCCTTACATGTACTCAGTTAATGATCATTAGAATCAGCACATGAATATATTGGCCTATAGAGGTGTTGTTTTTTTTTTTTTAATTGATCAGCACTTCACCCATTTCTTATTTAAGATGAGATGAAATAAAATATATAACTTGGATAGACCTGAATGCTTGATCACCACTTGCTTGAAAACCATCATACAATAAAGGCTTTTTGCTTTGCTTTGTTTTGTTTTAGCTTTAGCTTTAGTCAAAACAGAGGCTGAGAGATATTCCCTTCTGGAGGGAAACGAGTCAAGGGGTGAGGATGGTAGCTGATTCTGGTGGAGCTCGGGCCTGGTTCAGAACCTCCTTAGCACTCTTTTGTAAACAGGTGGCTAAAGAGACTAACACTCACCACAGCCCAAGGAAGGAATTAAGACTGAGAACAGAGGTCAGATTAATTTGAATCTCATGGAGCAGGACGGTTTTTGATGCACTTTAAGATCGAGACCACATACCACTTAGTTAACTAGTGAAACCCTTTCGTGGATGATAGGGATTGCCAAGAGGCAGATCAGACTCTGATTTGATGGGCAGCCAATCAATTAAAAAGACACACATGCCCAGTAAGTAGCAGAGAAAAAAGATCCAATTGATGGGTTCCAGCAGTGCAGACAGCAAGTGTGTACTGAAGAGAGAACTTGCTATTTTATTACAGAACTCTTGTTTTTACAGACGAGAATACATCCTCATTTAGAAAACTGCAATTTGGTTGTACCACCTTCTGGCTCCTACAGTATAGTTTTCTCTATCCTTTCAATTCCCTTCTCCCCTTTCCTTTATTTTTCTTAAAGATTTTATTTGAAAGAGTGCAATTAAGAGAGAAAGCACAAGCAGAGGGGAAGGGTAGAGAAGGAGGGAGAAGCAGACTCCCTGCTGATCAGGGAGCCTGATGCAGGACTCAATCCCAGGACCCTGGGATCCTGACCTGAGCCGAAGGCAGACGCTTGACCAACTGAGTCACCCAGTCGTCCTTCCCTTTCCTTTATTAAAGTAACTGGTGTCTCAATATAAGCATGTTGCTTTAAAAAAACAACAACTGTTAATGGTATACTGGTATACTTTGATCAATATCAAGTGGAGAACGGGGGAAAAACCCACGTGTAGGAAAATACTTCCTTTTCCATTATCAGCAGGTACACTCAACTTCTATGCTCTATTTTATGCTCACTGAACTTTTATTCTTATACTTCAGTAAGATATTTGTTCTCAACAATGACAAACATCCTTGCAGATTTTGTGTAAATGGAAAATTCTGATGTCTTTATCATTATGAAACCAAGAGGACTTTTATAATTTTTTTTAGATGAGGCTGTTATATGCAGAGTGACTTGTTTTCAAGTAGGGATAAATGACATTAAGATAATTGAATCCCAGATTGATTTTCAGCAAATCAAGCATCTTCTTGTTTAAATAAACTTCCTAGAAAGAAAAGGCTGAGTGAGGAAAGAGAGTCCCTGGACAAAATGAACAGTGCACACTCTGGTCCATTTAAGTGGATGTGCCACTGATACCACACAAGGCAGGATTCTCTATCCTTTAGATCACATTTCTTCATCAATTTGAAAATAATTTCCACTTTTATACAGTCAACTGCTGAGACGTCTACGAAATATTTGGCAATCATCAAAAGAAAAGTAGTAAGTTTTATACTATTGAATCTGTTGGTTCAGTAGTTGCTTAAAGCTCTCTAAAAAATGAACTTGATTTTTCATTGAAACAAAACTAAATGAAGGAAACAGTGAATGACAGTAAGCACCTGTTATTTGCTCAGTCAAGGTGTCTTGCCTTTCATATTTTATCATCACAACAGCCCTATGATGTCACAAGAACCTTGTCTAAGGCATACAACTGGCAAGGATTGAAATTTGGACTGGCTCCAAAGATAGAATTCTAACTGCAAAACTCTCCTGTAGAGTGAAATCTTACAGAGAATCCCAATTAAAAAAACACTGTGTGCATGGAGTGGAGTTCAAATGCATAATACTGAATTCCTAGGAAATCAAAGAGAACACAATGTAACACATTTGTCAAATGTAAAACATTTGTCTCCAATTTGTTTAAATGAAAGTGACTTGTTTTTCATTCTTTTTTAAAAAGATTTAAAAATACATTGAAAGGGAAATTTATATCAATATATACAAAACCTTAAGAGAACCCAGGATTGCAAGGACTCCAGGTGAAAAGGTATGGTACTACAGACTCTCCCCTGCTTCCTTCATGCAAGGTCATCAACATCTATGCACTTATAAACCTCACATGTATGTTTCTTAATTGATACTGATATGATAGCATGAAGTATACCTACTATACTCACCATAGTCACAGAGCAACACCAACAACAGATTTGAAAAGTCTTTCAACATTTGTTTCATTCTGATCAGCAAAATCCCAGATCTTTGGTCTCCTCATGTCCTTTGTCACATCCAAACTGTGAATTTTTTTGTTTCAAAAACACCTGAAATTAGAAACTCAAACAAATGATGCCTCTATTCAAGGTGATTCATAAAATAGTACTCATGAAATGGCAAAAACATTCTAAGAAGTCAAACATCATAGGTGCCACTGAAAAGAGAAGAGGGAGGACACTAATGTTCCCTAGGAAAATGATTTATAATTGCACGTGTCTTTTGTTCCATTACAGCTCACCTGTTAAGAACATTCAGATGTTCTCAACACCAGGATTATCTTTACAAAACACCAAGCCTCTTATCTTTGTAACACATACTTTTTTTAAAAAATTTTTTTCTTTTTAATTCTTATTTATAATAGTCACACAGAGAGAGAGAGAGGCAGATACACAGGCAGAGGGAGAAGCAGGCTCCATCCACCGGGAGCCCAACGTGGGATTCGATCCCGGATCTCCAGGATCGCGCCCTGGGCCAAAGGCAGGCGCTAAACCGCTGCACTGCCCAGGGATCCCTTTGTAACACATACTTAAGTGGAGACTTAGTTATTCGCTGAATTTTATCAAAGGTGAGAGCCAATCTGGATAATACATTTTCACCTCTTTATCTGCTTGGCAGTTCACACTGATCAATGTGCTAAAATTCTGCCAGATTTTCATTTTTCTTTGTGCTGTACAGACCAGGCTCACTTTTACCAATGGTTTTAAAACCACTGTCCTTCTTGCACAAGTGGTATGTTATCTGGATCGCTTCATTTCTTAATGCCCAGGAGCTATATCAAAACCATCAAATCTTTCAAAAAGACACCCAGAGTATTGCAATTAAATGTGACCTCCATGCGACACTGAGTTCCCTTGCTCAGGGCACTCTAAAGAGAAAAGATAAATAACAATTATCAACGTCTATCAGTTTTCCAATACTTGTCACTGTCACTATGCATCATCTATCCTGAGAGATGTGGCTTTCATGCACCAATCTTCCCAGACCACCTAACAGGGCAGGATAGAACTTGTTGGCCTGCGCTTCAGAATGATTTGTGGGAGGAGGCACTTACTTTGATATGAAAGGACTATTAAGATTGTAGAATAAGAGTCAAAGGCGCTTGCCAATTTTTTTCATACTAGAGTCTAATAAACGATGGGCTACTAAACATAATCAACTACCTATTTTCTTAAGGTTTACATTCCTCCATTATCCACAGTTAATATATTTTAATAAGATACTATATTCTAAATATATACGTTACATCTCTTTAGAGAAGACAGAAGTTCATGAAATTAAAAGGACTGTTAAAATAATAAAAAATTCAATGGAAAGAAAACTGTGTCTCTATTAGCTTTCTTTCAATAGGAGTTGGTTGAACAAAGGAAATACTTTATTTCCTCAAAGGGAAGCAGAGATTTGAAGTGTAATTAGGCAGATGATTAGGGGATCCCCTCCCTCCTCTCCCCAATAAAAAAAGAAAACTGCATTTTGCTGTTATTAAGCATAGATTTGATCCAATCCTCTCCTTGAACTTCAGACTGGGAAGTGTGGCCAAACATAGCAGGTGAGCATCACTGTATCTTCCAAGCAAGCGTGGGCACTTGGGGGAATAAAATGCTTCCTTTTGAGTTACTGATCTCAGTAACCAGAGTAAGAGAAGCAAGCATTTCCCAGCTCCCAAAAGTTGAACTGGCTCCTCTCAAACTGTTTGCTTTTCCATGATAACGATTTTTTAAAGCAGCTCCTAATAACACTGATTTTGTGAGTATAACACATTTTTCTTCTTATGAAAATGATCGGTAAAGCGCAGAAGAGTGTGATCATATATATACACATATATATCATACAGATCACACTATAAAATAAACTAGCCTACCTAAAAAATCAGGCTATGGATTTTTTAAAATGTTCTTAAGCTTTCAAAAATAAATGCTTAATTTTACTAGCTCAACCATTAATTTGAAGATCTGAACAGAGCAACCCACAATGTAGTGGAATGCTGCATAAAAAAGCATTGTTGTTGTTGCTTTTTTAAAAAAGAAGATTCCTTCCTTCCTGTCTTTTCCTCTCTCTTTTCACCTTGTTTGCTTGTTTTCTTCCAACATGTTGTTCCCAATACCAGGACTGGCTACTTAAAATGTTTGGCTTGAGAATCGTTTTGAGAAAACAAAAACGTAGGTCTTTTTTATGCACATTTAAAAATGCTTCTATTTAGCATTCACACATGAACATTTGCAGAAAAATTTCAAATGCATCAGCTAGAGAGTAAGAAGTAGTGAATATTCTCAGTGGCTAATGGCATCATGCCAGGCTCAGGTCCCACGCTTTTGCGGAAACCGGCTAAAATAAATCCGTACAGGGCAGCCCCGGTGGCGCAGCGGTTTGGCGCCGCCTACAGCCCAGGGCGTGATCCTGGAGACGCAGGATCGAGTCCCACGTCGGGCTCCCTCTGCCTGTGTCTCTGTCTGTCTCTGTGTGTGTATCTCTCATGAATAAATAAATAAATAAATAAAATCTTCTAAAAAATAAATCCCTACAGTGTCTTCACTGCTGCAGAAAAAGAAAAAGAATTAAGCTAAAGTCCACTGGGACCAGTTATTTCTCAAATAAAAGTGAAAACAAAAGGAGGCAAAGTGATTTTGGCCCTTCAAACACATACAGGTTCCCGTGCATCCATCTACCACTAATATTTATTAGCAGGAAATCCTTAGTTCCAAAGCAGCTGGTGTAAACAGGCTTTATTTATATATTCAGTGCAGCGGGCTTTGCCCTCGTCCAGGGCGTCGGACGCCGCTTCCCGAGGGAGGCCGCTCGCTCCGGCTCCCGGCTCCCGCTCCCGCTCCGGCTCCCGCCCCCGCTCCCGCCCCCGCTCCCGACCCCGCTCCCGCCCCCGCGGCTCCGCAGAGGCCCACAGGTCCCGTTCACGCTGGGGAATCCAGCCCTGGCCCAGTCGTCAGCACAAAGTCCTCTCAAAATGAGGACCGTCTTGAAATCTTAAATCTCATAGACTCTACGCCAGAAAGGATTTCTGTTTGCAAAGAGGCGAAGTGGTTCTGAAAGGCGCCGAACCCCCAGACGCGCTCCCTCGGGGCCCCGACCCCTCGGGCTCAACCCGCAGCCCGCGGTCAGCCGGTCTCCGGCCACAGCCGCCGAGCCGGGAGCGCAGGGGGACCGCGCGGGGCCGGCGGGGGCGGGGGCGGGGGCGGGGGCCGGGGGCGCTCCCCGAACCCGCGGAGCCACCGAGGACCCCGCCGGCAGCGGTGCCCGCGGCGGGGAGGGAGGCGGCGGGCTCTTCCTACCTCTCGGACAGGCGGGCGCGGGGGCCGGAGAGCCGGGGCGGGCGGCGGCGGGGCGGGCGGCGGGAGGCCTCAGGAGCGGCGAGGCCGCGCGCCCAGCATCCCGCGACCCGGGACTGCTCGCCCAGGCCGCCGGCGCTCGGCTCCGCGGCCCCACCCGGGCCCGCCCCCGCCCCCGCCCCCGCCCCCGCAGCCAGCCCCGCCCGCTGTGCGCCTCGCCTCGCCCTGCGCGCGCGGCCGGCGCGGCCACCCCGCGGCCCCGGGGAGCCCCGGACCCCCACGTTCCCGCCACGTTCCCGCCACGTCCCGACGCTCTCACTTTGCCCCCGGGCTCGTTTCTTCTGGGGGACCACAAAACGAAGTCATCCTCTGGCCTCACTGGGTGGGCTTTAAACTTGGTTTCCCAAATGTCCTCGTAGAGTCTCAAAAGAGAACAGTTCAGGTCAAGTGCATCTTCTTTTCAGCTTCTCTTTCTCAGGAGCCAGAGTTGGTTAAATTAAAAAATGATACTTAAAAAAAAAACAAAACCCTCCTAATTTGCAACTGTTAAAGTTGTCTAAGAGCACCACTAGAGGATAGAGTTCCACCTTAAAAGCTCTGCTTGTTTTTAGGTACACTGTAATGTGAATAGTTTACCGTTTGCTTTTCTTTTACACAAATCTACCACTGAACAGACAAAACTAGTGTGTGCTAATACAAATCAGAATAGTGGTGGCCCCTAGGGAGCAGGTGACTGTTAAGAGGCCCCAGGGAACTTTGGGGGATGACAGTTATGGTCTATTAGCTGTGGTGTGAGTTACAAGGATGTATTATTCATTTGTTAAAAGGCATCCAGCTTAAGATCTATGCATTTCACTGTAAATTTCACCTCAATTTATTTATTTATTTATTTATTTATTTATTTATTTATTATTTATTTATTTATTTAAGATTTTATTTATTTATTTATTCATGAGAGGCACAGACAGAGAGGCAGAGACACAGGCAGAGGGAGAAGCAGGCTTCATGCAGGGAGCCTGATGCAGGACTTGATCCCAGGACTCCAGGATCACTCCCTGAGCCCAAGGCAGGCGCTAAGCTGCTGAGCCACCAGGGATTCCCTATTTATTTTTTTAAAAATTTTTATGTATTTATGATAGTTACACACACACACACACACACACACACAGAGAGAGAGAGAGAGAGGCAGAGACATAGGCAGAGGGAGAAGCAGGCTCCATGCACCGGGAGCCCGATGTGGGATTCGATCATGGGTCTCCAGGATTGCGCCCTGGGCCAAAGGCAGGCGCCAAACCGCTGCGCCACCCAGGGATCCCTTCACCTCAATTTTTATTTATTTATTCTTTTAAGATTTGGGAGACAGAGAACAAGCAGTGGGGAGGGGCAGAGGGAGAAGGAGAGAGAAGCAGACTCCTCCCTGCAAAGCAGGAAGCCCCATAGGGGGTTTGATACCAGCACCTGGAGGACCTGAGCCTAAGACATACACTTAACTGCCTGAGCCACCCAGGCACCTCTTTACCTCAATTTTTAAGACTTAAAAATACAGTATTTGCAGGTCTTTGAATCTATCACTTAATCTTCTAAAAGATGGCACACTCAATTATCAGTTATCAGAGGTATCAAATTTGCCACGTACTTACATTGTCCAATAATTAATACTAGAAAGTACTAATGAAATCCACCCAAGGTTTCAGGGACAGATTTTTTTTTTTTTTTTCCGGGACAGAATTATTTAGTCCAACGTCCATTCATCAGCCCAGGTTGGGATTTCTTTTCAAATATATGCCACACACAGTTCTTGGCATTTTTGAAAGCAAAAGCTCAATGTAGAGTGCTTTGGAGTTTGATAAAGCTAAAATTAATTCTAGTCCTACTTCAGTAACCTTGGCAAACACTTTTAATCCCTTCTTTCCTCCACTGTAAAAAGCATGTAATAGTTGTACCGAAGTTTTGTGGTGATTAAGTGAAACATATAGAAAGCAACCTGCTCTGCATTCATTTTTCAGACACACTCTCCCTGGAAACCCACCCTTGGGACTTGGGAGGACCTAAGTACAGGTACAAGTGGCTAGATCAGTGTGCTGGGACATTTTTTAAACAACAGCTATAATTGAGATACTTGGTCATTTTTGCCTTGATTAGAATTCTTGCCAAACTGTACTTCTGCACATTTAAAGTATGATCTTTTCTAAAAGAAGGCAGCGTAGAAATGAAGGGGAAAAGAGCTTCCCAAAGAACAGTGGTATGTTCTTGTTGGAATTAGCTAAAACAAGCTGCTGTCAAGGTAGCTTTAATTCTTTCTGGGTCAGTGATTGGTCTAGTAATCTTGTGCAAATTGTGTAAAACATGTTCACTATCTTGACAGTATCCTTTATACACATGGAGAGATCTTTTATTTCCTTAGATAATACTCTGAGAGAAAAGCTTTAAGTGACTCATGATTATCAGGACTCAATGAAGAACACAAATGTTTTCAGTGTAACAAGATCTTACATGTGTGTCTACCTGACTTTTCTGGAGTGCTTCCCACAACATGGATATGCCCCATGTCATGGAATCTGAATAAGACAGAGTATCTCAGACAGGCTGAGCCCTAACAAGTCTGGTTGAGAAGCCTCTTGGGCAGATGGTAAAGGACATAGATTTACGTTTGTGAGTCAATTCATGACACATTATAATCCAAAAATCGCTCAAGTATTCAGTTAATACATAACTAGGAATCTACCATGTTCAATTATTGACTGAGGCCAGAAGAGAGTTCAAAAATTGTTATATATAGGACAGTCCTTGAACTTTAAAGAAACCCATTTCCTCTGTTTTCTTATGGCATGAAGACAAAATACAGTCAGGCAAATGTAACAGATAATAATTATTATGGAGTTTAGAAATAGTAGAGTTGTGAATTGGAAAGAGATTTTTCTAAAGCAGGTGGGAATGAGCAAAGTATGGTTCTGATTATTGGGTTGGAGGTAAGTGAATGGGAAAAAGTAAAGAAAGGGAAGTCTGCACAAAGGAAGTTGGCCCCAGGAAAAGGAAGGGGCACACCTTGTGTGGCCCTAACCCAACACCTTCTACCTGCTGACAATCTGTTGGTCCTTGTGAGCCTAGTATAAGAGGCTCTTCCTCTCCTACAAGGCCTTTCTAGATCCCTCCATCCGGACTGGAGGATCTTCCTTCTGCCTTGCACAGCATAGTACTTGTGCCGCTTCTATGAAAAGCACTTCGTTCTTTCTTCAGATATCGTCCACATGTCTATTTCCTCAACTAGGCCCCCAGGGTAAAGGCAGAGGATGTAACATATTCATTTTGTTCCTCCCTCCCCCCCTCCCGCCCCAACCAACCAGTGACCCACATAATTCCTCATACAGTCAATATGTATTAAAAAAATTTTTTTTAATTGAATTGAATGGCAGATAAAGTAGGATAAATGGAGCCAGGTTATAAATAGGTATATACATCAGAGTTCACTCATTCAGTTAATATTTATTGAATGCTTACTGTGTGCTGGGCCCTGTTCTAGGCTCTGAGGATATATTCACGAACAAACCAGATAAAAGTCTTTACCCTTGTGGAGCTCACACTCTAGATCTATCACAAGGCATGGAATTAGCAATAAATTTACATAAATTCAAGCATACCTAGTGCCCAGAAAACAAAACACACATTTAAAGTTTAATTATTGGTGTTAAAAGAGTCTACTGTTGCTATGTAGTTTTTATTGTGTATTGTATATAGTATACTTACTATATTCATAATATATTCATACCTGTGTATCACTCTATAGGGATTCTAACTGTAAGACTATACAGAGAACTTCACTGGCAATTTGAGATTTTCAGGGATAATTCTGAGCATGCTTGATTTAATTCCGAGGCACGGTCTAAAAATATAACCAGCTTATGAGTGTGACTCTACTGTATCAAAATGAAAATGCTGAGATTGCTGGGCAGAGAATGAGAATGAGGACATGACGAGTCTATGTCTGCTCAAGCCAGTCTGGTTATAGGGAATGAGAGATAGTACATTCATGTGAATACACAAGGTCAGTCAACAGTGGAGTTCACATCAAGAATCAAAACAAAAAACAAAAAAACAGTTCAAGAGCCATTTCCCATTCTTTTAAAAAGACTAAAACAGTAAGATTTTGAGGTCATAAAGAAAAAAATCTTAACATATTAGCTTATTCGGATTTAAGGTTTATCACTTTCATGTATTTTTCAAAGAGTATTTTGAAAAGAACACCAAGTTAAGGAAAATCATGTAAAAGTTTTACAGTAATTTTACTCTATATACATCAATTCCAATCATTTAACCCTGAAAACAATATTTACTCGTACAATCTACAAAAATTTTTGACAGTGACTAGAAAAATTCCATTACTATAAAGCTACAAATTTATGCTCCTAAGAGCAAAAATAATAATTATACCAGTGATAAGCACCAAGATGAGTTTTTTGCATTTAGGGCCTGATTGGTTGTATTTAAACATAACTTTATACCTTATTTGGCCAAAAAAACAAACAAACAGGGGAGGGATAAAAAACATAGAGGACTGGAAACCGTAGAGAATGCCCACTTTAAAAATAAAACAGTAAAATAATACTTTTTTAATTAATGTGCCATTTGCAAAATATATTCATGTCACTTTCCTTCCTCTTTAGTTCACCTTATACAATTTAGATTGCTCCATTTTTATTAATGTGTCATCATACTAATGTTAATAAGTATGTTGTTGAACCAGGGGAGTGTGCGATAATGAATCCAGATTGTAAGACCTAAGTCCAGTTAGCTCAAACAATCTTAGCTGCAACCCATTCCAACAGCTGAAAGAGATTTTTTATTTTTGTAATGTTTAAAAAACCCTAGCCAGACTGAGATATCGTGTGTGCGTGCTTGTGTACATGAATGTGCGTGTACAGCAGTGTGAGTACAACCTAGAAATAGGAGTGCCACACAAACAAGTTTACACAATGGCCTGAAAGACATGAGCAGCCAGATATTGGATTCCCCCCCAAACAAACCCGAGGCTGAGCAGTGAGGAAATTGGGGGATCTGTCATCACACTATAGAATCCACAAGTCTGGTAAATGAAGACAAGCAGGAAGGCAGGATGCCTCAGCCAAGATGTTCCCATGACACTGGAGGATGTGAAGCAGCAACAGCCACTTTTGCAGGCAGGGGTCAGGGACGGACTGTGGGTGGCTACAGTGCTAGGATCCCCTTAGGTCTGCAGCTGAGGATCCCTGCCACTTCCCCAAAGGGCATTTGTAGTAGCCACTGGCAGTGACCCTCACCTCATTTGGTGACAACACCTCCAGGATCCCAGAGTGTGGGTTGGGGTATCCCGTTCTGCTAGTCACCACAGTTATCTCAATACAGACACTATCCTTTCTGGAGGCTGGGCCAAACAATATCACTACTTTCTATTTTCAGCAGTCTTGGAAAGGTGGGGGGAATCCCCTTCTGTCCCTGTGGGATCCCTGAGTTTGAGGCAATGCCAACACACCATATGCTGGCTAGCAATAACACAGGAAGTCAGAAATAGTATTCAATGTCTACATCCAACATTAGCCAGTTTTTGTTATCTTGGTAATACTTTTCAGTGAGATAGTTTCTCTACACAACTTCTAATGTATGGGGTAAAGAAAAAAAATTATTGCTGGAACAAAAAAAGATTTTTTAAAGCTCCTTACTGAAACTCCTTAAGGGTAGGAAAAGGAGACCGGTTACTTGTCTACCTTCTTTGTTCCCGTCCTTGATTTCTTTTTTTAAATAATAAATTCATTTTTTATTGGTGTTCAATTCTTGTCCTTGATTTTTGAGGTCAAAGAGCACCAAGGTTCCTGTTAAGCTACTCAAAGGTTCTCCCCGCCTCTCCACCCACACAATCCTAGGGAATTTCTCAGTCCTCTACTTTCCAAATTTGTAATCAGATCTCTGGGCGTGTCTATATAGCTTGTTAATTCAGTTTCAAAATCCACAGCATTTTTTAAACAAAATGAGATAGTTGCATTCTTTAAATGCCAGCCATGAAATCATCACTTGAAAAAAAAAATGAGTCAGACTATATATATATATACACACACACACACACACACCATATATATATACACACACACACACACATACATTAAGTCAAATACAATTCTCTCCTTTTTTAAAGTATCTGTTGAAGACATGCTTATGACTGCTTCTAAAGAAAAGCCCGTAGGAAAGGAGCCTCATATGCCATTCTGCAGTTTCATATTCTGTTCCAATGTCATCAGTTCTCAAACTACATTGTAGGTACGACTTGCTTCATGAGCCCTGCCCCTCCAAAATGGGCACATTTGATGCAGAGAAAAACTTTGTTTATAATTCAATGAATTTTAGTCACACCAGAAAAATGATCTGGTCTGTCCAAACATGCAACTTCTTTCTTCCCCCATTAACTAAACTAACCCCCCCTTTTAAAAAAAAAAAAAAGGTCATATGAAGTTAAAAGCCACCATATTTCAAGTTAAACTCTGAAGGTTCTATCAACTGTAGCATGATTTCAAAATCATAGTGGCATTCAGTTTTCTGTATTTTCTCTATATTTATCCTAAGGAAACTTCCTGGATCATAATATTTAGGGAGAAATTAAAAGGGTTTTATATTGGGAAGCCCGGGTGGCTCAGTGGTTTAGCGCGACTTTCTGCCCAGGGCGTGATCCTGGAGACCCGGGATCGAGTCCCACGTCAGGCTCCCTGCAGGGAGCCTGCTTCTCCCTCTGCCTGTGTCTCTGCCTGCCTCTCTCTCTCTCTCTCTCTCTCTCTGTCTGTCTCATCAATAAATAAATTTTTTAAAAAAGGGTTTTATATTATAGTATAACATTCCAGAAATTCTCAGATTATCAGGGTTTACTCTGAGCTCAATGTCCTACAAATTCTACGTGATACAAGTATATGAACAAGAAGTATTTGAAATATAAAACCCTTAGCTCTGGGTCATAAATAAATTTGGGTAAAACCGCAAGCCTTCCACAGAATCATCTCGGCAAAGGTGGCCCATCTTCTCTGCAAGAAGCAACCTAGGAATCAAGGGGGAAATCCACAATCATTTATCCATTCAGAAATACAAATATAATTCTAATGAAGAGCAAGGATCTCACTTACCTTTCCTTAGCTAGGAGGACAGACATTCCCACCAGCTTAGCAAACTCTTCTGATGTCAGGGATCCCTTTTCTGAAACCTAACAGAAACACAACAAGAAAAAAAAAAAAAGTGGTAACTTAGACACTAAATTAGGTACTAACCTAGGGAGAGTGTTTACCAGTTTACTCAGGATACAATTTACTGGATTTCCTAGTAAAATACAAAGAATATTCACTATAGAACTAAATCTTTTCACTAATGTTTAATTCTACAAACGTTCCAGGACTGAGAAAAATACAGTAGAGCCTAAGATATCATGAAGCCTTCTATAGTGTAACAAAGGCACTGTACTGAACCCTAGAACTTTGACATCCTGAAAAAGAACAGATAACAAATTCTCACTGAGTGCATACTGCATGTTCCAGTAAAAGAACCTTATATATAGATTTAACATAAAATAAATGGTAGAAATATCTATAGTCTTGAGGTTTTCATCTAGTTTAAAATGTATGAGTTAAATTAAATACGGTCACCAGAGTCTATGAAGGATATTTCAAGTATCCTAATGAGTAATAGCAGTAAAATCCAGTAAACTACAGTTGCTTGTCATATTTTTTGAAGCAATGATTTCATAAAACTACTTGTGATGTTATATAATACTGCTTATGTAGGTGTCACTGAAAGAAAAAGTTCAGTCAAGGGTAATATTCTGATTAACAAAGTTAAAAACCTGTCTGCAAGACTGAGCTTCAAACAAAAAGATAGTATGTCATTAATTTCAATTCTCCTTGGTAAGTTTTAAAAGCTTTAGAAGCGTAATTTTAATTAGTATTTAGTATTGTTAATAATAGGTGTTTTTAATTGGGTCTACAAACATGACTTTTTAGTAAAGTTAAATTCAAAAGGAAATCCTGTTTCTGGAGTTGCTAAGCATTCAAATCTTGGTGGGCAGACTGATGAGGAGGAAACAGGGTTCACATACTGTCTCCAAGGCTGAGGCCACCATTTCCTCTTCTTTGTGGCTCTGAAGCTCAATTACCATGACACCACTGTCAAAAACTCGGAGCCTAAAAATCACAGATGGGAAAACAAAGCTGTGAATATCTAGGATCTTCAACTACTAAAGAGGTGCAAATATCCTGTGCTTTCTTTTATGCCCAAGTATGGGGGCAATGTTTAAAACATAACCACAAGCAACTACAGCATAACTAAAATGCTTATGAATAAACATTTAATAAAAGTATGAACTATAATCCATATGCTAAAAAAAAAATATGTCTGGCACTCTTTTTAACCTGAAGAGAAGAAAAAATAATTCACAGCTGAACATCTGTACTTTTAAATCTCCAGAAACTAACACACAATGTCTAGCAGAAGGGCTGGTTATTCTGATGTTCTAGGAAAAGCCTACATTCTTATCTCACTGCCCCCAAATCAATAAGAGTTGGGCTACTGGCCCCTCAGCTCATGCATAGCCCCGATAAGGAGGGAAGCTAGGATGACAAGTGAATTCTGCTCATTTAATTCCAAGACGGGCAATATGTTGGCTCACCACATAGACGGCAGGCCTGGCAGGACCTTCCTGTCTACTCTGTATGGAATAGTGGCTCTAGTTGGCAGGCTTCCTGCAGAGGTTCTTTTACCTGAGAGGTAATTTTAGCGCTTCCAGCATCTTGCATGCATTCACCAAATCTTCTGGTGAGAGCAACTAATAGGGGGAAAAAAAAAAATCCAGTTTACACTGCAAATTAATAGAGCGATGCTATATAATTATAATGATCACTAAAACAGAAGAGAAAATTTAACAAATATCATTTATCTGTGACTTGATCTTTGGGCATGGAGTGTATTTTAAAATTTTTTTTTAAATAAAAATATAAAAATTATAATTTATTAAGGATTTTAGGTGGCTTAATCACTGTAAGGCAAAAAGGATTAACAAAGAAGCAAAGCAGTGCTTACAGAAAACAATGAAACCATATACATAATTTAAAATTTTCTAGGTGTTGTATTAATCTAATAAAAAGAAAAAGGTGAAATTGATTACAATACATGTACTTTAACCCACCAATGTAAAATGCCAACATATAATCAATATAAAAATTATGAATATTTAACATTCCTTTATTCTGTACCAAGTCCTCTAAAGCTGGTAATTTACACTTACAGCACATCTTAGTTTGGATTAACTGTATTTCAAGGTCCCAGATGTCACATGTAGCTAGTTCGTAGCCACCCTTCCAGACCAGGCAATCTTAAAGAGTCAGCCCAGTGTGGTGGCTGACAAGTATAATCACACGGAATGGCTCCAAAGCTAGGACCGCCTGTCCAAATGCCTGTCAAACCACTGTTTCCAGGCACAGCCTTGGTCAAATAATTTAATCTTTCTGAGCCTCAAATTCCTTATCCTCGTATTATGCCCTAGATGGTGAGAATGAGAGCAGCTACCTCACTGAGTTACTGGGAGGACAAATGGGGTAACATGTGCAGAGTGCCTGGGAAATAGTCAGTACTTGCCAATGGCAGTCAGGACGGCTGCTCAAATAAAAACAGAGCAGAGGCTCAACTTGGGACTGTGGGGAGCACTGGAAAGACATATCTATGAACTATTCGCAGAGAGATGACAGCTGACACCACAAAACCATGTTTGACTAACGGACACGAAGAGTGCACAAATCAGAACTTGGGGGCCAAGGACATGTATGTGTGAAGGGACAAGGAATGTTGGGGAACAGCCACTGCTATTTCAGAGCCAGAGGAGAGGGGCAGCTCTCCCCGTTTCTCTACAGGCAACCTGCATCCAACCCAGTTAGTCCAGCATAGGTAACATCCAGTACTCTGGATGGCATCAGATACAATCTAATTAACTACAAAATACACAGAGAATATTAAAGCCAGAAGGTAACAGTCCAAATCCTGGCTTAAAATGTAAGAGAATTGAGTCTCAGGGAGGTTAAGTGAGCTACTCCAGGTCACTTAGCACATCACCGGCAAAACAAAGGACAGAGTCTTCCTCCTAGATCCCAAGGCAGCAGAGGATTCTTTTCACTACACCATACTGCTTTCCAAATAGTTTGTATATTCTCATCCCGTCCTCAAACTGTATTTGCTTTGGGGAATTTATGTTATATTAAGAAAGTCTATATTTAGTTAAAGAATATATAAATGCTCTATTCTTACTTCCATTCCTCGAGCTCGGTTTACTAAACAGTACACCTCCGTGAGTGACATTATTCCCCCTCGTTCCTGTTAAAATATGAAAATTTAAAAGTATTATAATTGGCACCAGGTAGCATTTCTTAACAGAAATCATAATCAGAATGGAATCAGGAATCATAAAACGTTCTAAGAAATCTTCAAAAACTAAATTTACACACTGGAAAACCTAGTCAGATACATGAGGTGTTTCAAATTCAATACCTGGACTTTAACATCATTATTGTTTTAACATTCACTTAAATGAAAAGAGAGCCTCTACAACAAGTGTATTTAAATGTTTTAAGTTATTACAACTAATAAATGAAGAAATTATGGAATTAAATAGGAATATCACCATTGTAACCCCAAATGAAGTAACAGGTCTAGATGCTGACTGTTATTGCCTGCTGTTACATCACAAAGACATTATGTACCTCCTGATGGAAATGCACAGAACCCTCTATGAAATATCTGTCAGGAAAAAAAAAAAAAAAGGAACTTCTAGGTAGAAATATCAGTCTACCTAAGGAATACATGGGGCAGGGAAGTATGTTAACATACAATTCAATAAAATCCAAACTCTGAGACACTCTTTTTTGTGTGTGGTGGGCAGCAAAATAAAGTTTATTGAGTAACAGTTCAAAGCTCCCCAAAGAGGGAGGGGACCTGAGAGGGTTGCCCTCTGAGACACTATAAGATAAATCACTAGTTTCTTCAATAAATAAATTGTATGGAAGAGAAAAAAGAGATAGGAGGAGAAGGAGAAACCCATGGAATTTTTTTAAAAAGCCTTGAGAGACAAATCAACCAAAAGCAATGCATCCTGATTTGAACAAACTAATTGTGAGAGATATGAATACAAACCAGACATATGAGAACATTAAAAAACTATTCTAACTTTTCATGTGTGAAATGGGATTATAATTACATTTAAAGGCATCTTTATGATGTCTTGAATGATAATTCAGTATTACATACTGAAGAATTTACAAAGTGATGTGATGTCTGGGACTGCCTTAAAGTAATTTTGAGTGGAGGCTGCTTACACATGAATTTGGATGAGAGACATGCAGGGATTCTTTATACTCTATTTTGTCCTGACAGAAATACTTCTTAATGTAAGTGTTTTAATAAATGAAGTTTTGATTGCCTGAGTAATGTTGGAAGATTAATCTGTATTGTGAAATGAGAAATAGTACACTTATATGAAGATTAGATATATAGGCATATATGTAAGCATCTAGAAATCATATATTTCCTTTCGAAAACAAGAGAGAAGAAAAACTTCCTATCAAAGTTACAGATATCTGAAATGGAAATTGAAAACAATCTAGATGTTGACAACAAAATCCACTAATAAGTATACCAAACTAACTTAATATTCCTGAAAGAAAAAAATAACATATGGTTGAAGAGGAGTCACACTAGAAAACGAGTTAAACTCGTGTTAAGATCTCTGATGACTTGGAAATAATTTAACACAGCTGAAAAAGATCACTTAGGTTTTGTTTTTACCTCTAGTGGCCCCTGCAGTATTCCAGCCAGCTGTTTGGCCAGCTGCATGTGGTACTGTGTGCCGGAGCCATAGGTTTCCCTGGTAACTGGGTTAGCTATTCCCATGCTCAGCAAATAGGATTTAAACCTGATGGTCTATAATGAGAGAAGAAAGTGCACAAAAAGACAAATAAGCAGCATTAGTCTCTCTACCCTAACAATCTTTCTATCATAAATTCAATTCTACTCAATTATTTCCATATCCATCCATTTCTTCTACCTTGTTTCTATAGTGTAAATTCTAAAAAGTACATTTCTAGTAGTTCCCTGCATAAAACTAATTATTCTTCCTTCTCCTGTCTTGATGTCTCATACTCTACTGACTTCACAAGTTTGGTGTAAGAAGAAGTTTACGTAACAACTGTGATAAATTTAATGCCAACCAAATGATATAGCCAAAAACTTAGGAAAGATAATGGCTGTGACCAGATTGTAGACAATTTTAATGAAATAAATATCAAACGTATGGATGTGTATAAAACAACCACTCCTTACTTATTTCAATATCTCTCTTATCCACACTCCAAGAGAAGGTACTAAAGTATCTTTTAATCCTACTGGAACCAACCAAGTTTTTATGGTTGACTTTTTCTTTAATATTTTCATAGATCTGCAAGCCGTAACAGAAATCACTACATTAAAAAGAAACTGCTAACTACCAAAACATCACTGTGTTATTTGTCTAATCTGGTTTAATGCCTTAAAAAAGCAGCCTATTACCTCATCTTCAGTGATGTCACCTTGCTTGTCTTTAATTTTATTAGCAATTGATTTTGATAACTCCACCATTTCCTTAGCCTGTCAAGAGAACAGTAAAAGACTGAAAAAAATCCTGTCCCCAAAGTGTCTGTTAACAAAACTCATATCATAACTGGTAAGGATTCAATAGGTACAAATCACACATACCTTGACCATTAGCTTGCTGAGGTCTTCAAAAGCCTGAAATGAGAAATGAGTTTTTGTTGGAATCTATCTAAAGCATTAAAATGTTTTAAATTACTTCATTACTGAAGCGCTCTAGTTTCTTCCTTAGACTAAAGATTTTTGAAAATTTCTTACAAATATCAATTTATATAAATTTTTACAGAAGTAATAATAAATGTACCTTATTCTAAGAATTCAGGTTAGCTAAGAAACCATAAAATTTCCAAAACTGTGAAAAACCTTTCACATATTAAAAAAGTTATTATTGATTAAACAAACAAAAGGTGACATAAATAATAAATTGTGTAGAAAATATTATTTAATGTTCTTTCACACAAGTAAGAAAATTTGTCACTGGTTTTTCCCAAAACCATTTCCTGATAGGAGGTTGAGAATCAAAGATCTGTAAGCTTTCCTGGCAGTGTGCAGCTGCCACAATGTGCAATGTGCAGCTGCCACAATGTGCAGCTGCCACAATACTTCCTTGGGCCCTACGATCTTGTGTGATAGCAGGTGTGATTCAACTGGAACTGTAGACATCAGCCTCTAAATCTTGAATAGATTATACCTGCAGCTTTGGATATAGTGGGTATCACAAAAGAAAAACATTGAATGCCACCAAAACATACTTAAATAAAACTCATCTATAGTTTGATTTACTACAATGAATATCCACTTCAGTCTTCTTCAAACTCAGACATACTTATAAAAAATTTACTTCATATTACCAAAAATATACTTCCAGGGAAGAACATCTTCCAAATGATGTGCATAGATGTTACTTTTTAAACCAATGAAGCAACTTGCCATTAAATGAAAATTTTTTTAGTCCATATAGAACAGTGGTCAACGGATTCAGATTAGCTCATGCCCATCTTAATTACATGCAGAAAAGTAGCCCCCATCTGCAAAAGAATTTTGCTAAAAGAATAGAGTGTTGTGTAAAATTCTTATAGCCAAACTTACTAAGGCTAATACTGAAAACAAAGAGGAATGTGCACACACCTAACAGGAATTTCCTCAGATAAACAAAAGGCTTAAACATTGGATTCTTATCAGCAACAGCCAGCAGATGCAGGAAACCTTTTGTGGGAAACTCTGGGCACCAGCTCTGAAACTAAGTCACTCTAACACTGAAATGGAAGGCAAATCACACACCAACCTAGTTTTCAAAAATAAAACAACATGCTTTACACACTTCTATTCTTATACAAAATATTAATATATTTCTCTTACCGGTGTAAAGAAAACTAGTAAGACAACACTTTAAAAAATTGGATACGGTAAATCACATTATTTACTGTTACATTTTCATAGAAAAAATATGCTAAAAGTAATAATGGGTCCACAAAGAATACAGAATATGTAAATTAGCCTCACTGCTTACAGCCCATAAAAAGTAGATATTTTAGTGTCTTAGAAGAATTACCTGTATTTTAAGTAATCATAAAACACAAAAACTTTCTTACTTCTATCTGTATTACTATTCTAAAATTTGAAACTAGCCAATTACCTAAAAAATAGGTACCTACAATAAAATTAAAGCAACATATGTACAAATGCAAAATAGATGCATTTGCTCAATCTATTATTTTATCTGCCAGTTTATATAACTATCTATTCTTCTATCATGTCTACAGTCAAATTTCCACTCCATTCTTTGGTTATTAGCTTCAGTAACTATTAATATATTTTTTAATTTTGTTTCAGCTTTTTCTTTTCTTTCTTTCTTTTTTTTTTTTTTCAGAGAGACAGTGAGAGTGTGCATGTATGTGCAGGGGAGGGGCAGAGAGAGAGGTAGAGACTCCATGCTCAGCCCTGAGCCCAACGTGGGACTCAATGCCACCACCCTGAGATCATGACATGAGCCAAAACCAAGAGTTGGATGCTTAACTGACTGAGCACCCAGGCACCCTACTCCATTTCAGTTTTCTTGATTCTCTACCATTACATATTCTGTTCCTTCTACCTGGATCCTCTTATCCCTACAAGTCATTTGTTTGTTTGTTTATTTATTTATTTAATTTTTATTTATTTATGATAGGCACACACACACAGAGAGAGAGAGAGAGGCAGAGACACAGGCAGAGGGAGAAGCAGGCTCCATGCACCGGGAGCCCGACGTGGGATTTGATCCCGGGTCTCCAGGATCGCGCCCTGGGCCAAAGGCAGGCACCAAACCACTGCGCCACCCAGGGATCCCCCTTACAAGTCATTTGTTAGCACCTGCTAAACTTTCAGGCCTCAATTCCATTACATGCACTAACAAGCCTTCCCTGACCCCCAAGGAAGTCAGAGGCCATGTAATGTGTTCCTGTTGCAGGCACTGTTTTCTCTAACACGGTATCTCTCCCACTGCAGGGAATGCCTGTTTGCCTGCCTATCTGGTGCGCTGTCATATCTAAAACCTCTATCTGATGCAGGGTTTGTACAAAGCAGGGAGCAGGAACCACCTGCTAAATAAATCACTAACCTGTGTGAGAGAGCATGATGATTGAGTTGAATCCTCTGGACTATGCAACTCCATGAAAATTATATTAAAACAGAATGGCATTTCATAAATTAAGAAAAATGTAATTTTGAACACCAAATTAATATGGCACCACTCAGAAAAATACTAATAATTCAAAATTAGTTCACTGCACCATGCCATCTCCAAAACTGTCACGTAAAATGATGCAAATGTCACTAGAAAAGGATAGTGACAGTACCTTCCAAATGGCAAGGAGAGTGGCCATACTGTAGTAGGAACTACACGTGATCTGAAATCAAGGAGACCAGAGCTCTCATAATCTGGCTTCTGAATCTAGTCACTAGCTCTGAGATGATTACTTCTCTGGATAATAAGAACCCCTTTACTACCAAAATGCTGGAATTTTATGAATTTAAAGATGCTGGAAAGATGGAAGTTGTGGCAGCAAAACCTTTGAATCTCTCCAAATCCCAACATAAAAACAGGGCAACTAGATCTCAAAACCAAAAATCCATGGGCAGGATATACTATAAAACTAAGTGACAAGACAGCAATAAAGAACCTCAAGATAGGAGCACATAGGGACACAAGATCTATCGGTATCTACTACCTGCATGCTATCGGCATCTAGGCAAGAGAAAGAAAAGGGAAGCAACAGGGCAAGGGAACCCCAAAGGAGCCCACAGGAAATCTGACCAATGTGAGGACATAACTAAAATGGGGAGGGTTCTGCCCACTTCAGTAATTGGTGGGTGTGAGGAGGGCTCCTTGGGAAGCGCTGGCCTTCCAGGCTTCCCTTCCAGGAGGGGATCCTACACCACGGAGAAACCTCTAACACAGGAGTCAAAAACTGAGCAAGATAGGAATAAGAAGAGAGGAAGGGGGGGAAAAAAGGCCCAGATAAAAACAGGGTAAGAGAATAGGGCCAGGAAATCAGAGAGCAAGCCACCACCTTCTTTAACATTGTATGAACACAGCAGAAGAGTGAGCTGTGGGGAGTAAGACAAACTACCCTAGACCAGGCCTTCCTCTGAAAGTTCAGGAAAACTCATTTCACATGAAATAGCAACAGCAAAGTATCAAGGTCAAATGCCACACAAAGTTATCATGCAAAAAAAGAAAATAAGGAGAATAACATTTTAGAGAATAAAGGCAAATCGGAAAGACATGTTCACAGATCAGATCAAAATTTAACCTTTTATTTCAATATGAGCTAAAAGATGTTAATAAAATGACACAAGCCATAAACTGACAAAATAAATTAGAAATGAAGTGACATGATTCAGAAAAGAACTTTTAAAAAAATCATTTCAGAAATAAAGACTGTATTAGAACACAAGAATGAATAAACACAAGAGATACTATCTTAAGAGAAACAACAGATTAAAAAGAGGAAAATTTCCTAATAAAAAAGAAATAAAGATAAAAAGGGTTTGAAAGTTGCAAAGGGACTAGGCAACAGAGCTGCAATATACAGCTAATAGGAGTCTCAGAAGAAAAAAAAAATCAAAGCAATTACTAAAAATTATACAATTGAAAAAACTCCCTAAGTTAAAAGAAACAATTTCTAGAACCAAGTACTGAGAGCATATTGTGTACCTGAGAATAACAATCCAGAGTGACTAACTCATCAACATATTCTAGTAAAATTACTGAGCTTTATTTTAAAAGGTTAGTGGGGAGCCTTTGGGCATCTAGGAAAAACAGCGACTTCTTAGGTAATGGCTGATTCCAGATCTGGGGCAGGAAATGTACAAGATGGTCCTGGAACTACTGTCACACCAAATAGTAAGGAAGCTATCAAAGTCTGCCAGGTCACATTAAAAGCACGCAGGAGCCAACTTGAAGAGGCTCCCACTGACCGCAGATGGGACAATGTGAGCTTTAAACAGGATAATAATTGCAACTGACTGAAATCCATCAAATATATTAAAATCTATAAATTCATAATAATATGTAAAAAACCTCTAACGAGTTGCCATTGGAGGATGATAAGGAACCAATTTATCATCTTGATGATAAAGAAAAATGGTACTCATCTTGCCTTCCCTGTATGAACTATTATCACTGAGTAGCCAAATAATAGATGAAAGGAAGCATCACTTCAAAAAGTATTCCAACTAATAAAAAATAAATCCTAGACTATCACCATTTGTAACCACCAATGAACCAGGAGATCTACGCAATGAACATGAATAACTGCTGCCCTCATCAACAAAGACATGATGTGCCTTCTTAGGAAAAAACATAGCATCACTGCTAGTCTCACCAAAGGGGTCAAACATAATTTGATCAAGCCTCTGGATCCAGCTGCCAATTCGCAGGAAATACATAGAGCTGAGGAACATATACAACTTAACCATAAATTTGAGATCAGTAAAATCTAGGCTGTGGGTATTGAATAGGTCAAATGACCTTGGTCTCTCAATGATAATCTATATTTTCAATCTAGTGGGCCCAGAATTGGTACTATAATGGTTAATTCTATGTATTGACTAGACTAGATCATGAGGTACCCAGGTTTTTGATCAAACTTTATTGATGTGTCCGTGAGGGTATTCCCATGTGAGGTTAGCCTTTGAATTGGTAGACAGACATAGAACTGCCCTCCTCACTGCGGGTGGGCAACATTCAATAAGCCGAGGGCCTCATGGAACAAAAGGTTGGAGGAAGGGAGAACTCACGCTTTGACTGCTGCAGCCAAGACAGCAGTCTTACCCAGCCCTTGGACTGGACCTAAACCATCAGCGCTCCTGGTTCTCAGGCCTTCAGACCCAAATTAGGAATTCTATCACCAGCTTTCCTGGGTCACTAGCTTGTAGGTAGCAGATTGTGGTACTTTCTAGTCCCTACAATCACGAGTCAATTTCTTATATTAGATATCAATATAGAGAAAGAGATTGATACCTACATCTGTATACCGGTATCTTTTTATCTCCCATTGGTTGTTTCTCTGGAGAACCTTCATTAATACAGATATCTCATAACCATTTGCAGCTTAGATTTTATTTGATTGATATACATCTTTGAAATTCTATGAACAGCACTAGTCAATGGAATTTGACTTCCAAGGTATTATTAAAAACTGAAGAATTACTTCAGAGTCATTTCAAAAAAAGTCCAGGACCACTTCTATACAAACATAGGAAAACCAATGACATGTTCGATGTAGTAGCTGACTGCAGAATCTAACATCCATAACTGCTTTTCTTAACTAGACTTCTTTTCCTTCCACTTGCATTTCCTCAGCTATGATGAAGTTGCAGAAACACTGTGATGCACATGTTCAAGGCTGTTCTCCTAGTGGAAGGAATGGGCTGATCTGCGCCTCTCTTACTGTGTCTATGTCTGGTTCCTGAGCGGTCAGTGATGTCTGGCCAGGTTAACAGCCACAGAACAGCATTTTCCCCTCAACTAAGTTAACCAAACATCCAAGATAATTATACAGAGGACCCTGAATTCATTAGTATTCTCCAATCAACTCCATCTAGACTTTAAAATTTACACAAAACAACCCATGATGTTTTCTAACATCACAGAAAACATTTCATTTTCATTTCATTTTGGAAAAGGTTTTTAAAACATGTTTTGGCTAAATTATGCCAACCTGAAGATAACCTAGAATAAGAGACCATGGCTTCAGGCAAACTAAATATATTCCAATACACAGAATGGAATGAGTCACAGCTACCTCCAAAAGAATAAACACAAACGGCTAAAAAAGACAGCTGACTGGAACTTATGTATGAGTTACCTCAGAAATGTTTTTGTCAGTTTCTTTCCTTTTTTCTTCCAATTTCCTTTCGATGCCTACAATTCCTACAGCTCTTATTCTTCCTGGCTGAAAAAAGTAGAAAACACAACATACAAAATAGGAAGGACACACTCTTTTGCAGCCCACCAATGTTTTTTCAATGGCAGAAAGGGACTGACAAAGAACCAAAGAAAACCAGCATATGATGACATCTAGTTTCCTTTCAAAATATGTCAGCTTCTCATCATACATAATGATCTTCAAATCATTATTTTAAAAAAAATTGAATATACATTAACTGGCATATTTTACTCTGTATTTTCGTTATAAATTAAATTCGTATCTGTTCTTTGGCAAGCTATTATACTTATATCAGATTTTTAAAAAAAATTTTTGTATCAGATATTTAATAGGGTTTCAAACATGTAAGAAATTGTAGTTAAAATCTTGGTATTTGATAGTTATTATACAAACTACTTTCACACATTTGAGTGCCTATCTAGAGTTGGTGGTTAATTTAGACTGGCCTGAAAACATCACTCAGAGGTACTGTCTGTTCTCTCAGATGCCACAATGATTATAAAGGACAGAATGCAGTGAATGGAATCTAACATCTACCACCCCAAGAATGACTCTGGTGAGTAGTCATTATTTTTGCTAAGTGTCTACTATCTGCAGAGCACTAAATTAGGTTCTATGAAAATAAATCTTTAATCAGAATATCATCATTGTTTCTGGCAAGTTCTATAATCACAGAAATCTTTTCCCTTAATGAAGATACAAGTACAGAACGGAAAATAACTATTAAGAAACAGTTGCAACAATACCTGGGGTCCTCTCTTTGTTTGCAATGACTGGGAAACTGGCATATTCTCCCATCTTCTCTGTGTCATTTCCTCAGATAAACGCCTGTAAAACTGTGGTCCACACACACTTTAAATGAGTCAGTCAGGTTACAGTATCCTCATACAAATCATTCCTTAACATTTCTTTAGTTGAAAAGGTCTGTTCAGTCATCTTGCAACAAACCTAGAACTCTCAGGGACATCAAAAGAAACCAAAGGAAGTTCTTTTCTTGGATCAGCTTCAGAAAGCACAAAGGGGAAAAAAAAAAAAAAGAAAGAAAGAAACTGACCTTCTATATAAACTGAGCTATTCTCAACAAAGAGATGAATGACATTGAATAAATAGACTTAAACAATCCCACATACGTGGATTGTTTTCAATCTATAGCGAAACAGATACAGTGCCAAGAAAAATATACAACCATTATTCATGAAGGAAGCAGAGAATAATTTGTCTGGTGAAAACGTGAAGCCAGAAATTAAGGCCAAAACATCCCTACACTCACAAAAAATCAACTACATTGTTTAACTACAGTGAAAATGACTTCAGTTAGTCACTTATATTTGCTTAGCGCCTACTGGGTGAAGTGCCATATAAAAAACCCACATAAATAATTTAGGGTATCAATGGGGAAATAAACACATTTGTAAATATCTGAAGAATACTTATACAGCGACTTACTAATCAGAACGTGTAAACTATCATATGATGGACTAAGTACATAAGTGATTAGATTTGTGTGGCGTCAAGGAAGAAAGACTTCCTGATTTAAGGCTGGTGAGCTATTAGATACTGAGATAGTGTCACATTTCACTGCATTATACTCTGCCTCTTTAACTAAGCCACTGAAAAATTTACTAGTAGCCTAATGGCATGACTTACTGTATTTCTAGTTTCTACTTTTTCCTTGGGACCACACCCTCCTGTTTCCTATTCCCAAAACTTAAACTTCGTATTTTCTACTGATAAGGCTTAAGATATCATAAATTTTTTTTTTAATTTACTTATGATAGTCACAGAGAGAGAGAGAGAGAGAGAGAGAGAGAGAGAGAGAGAGGCAGAGACACAGGCAGAGGGAGAAGCAGGCTCCATGCACCGGGAACCCGATGTGGGATTCAATCCCGGGTCTCCAGGAGCGCCCCGGGCCAAAGATAGGCGCCAAACCGCTGCGCCACCCAGGGATCCCGATATCATAAAAATTTTATTGAAAAATATGGTGAAACCTGGTATGTTGTACAATATCAAATTACAGCGTATTAACAAAGAACAACAAAAACAAAAACGAGGACATGCTTCCTACCTCAATCTGGCCATGTTCTTTGAAGGATAGTTTGATGTAGGAGTTCTTACTACTCTGGAACGGACCAGGTTCTTTGGTGGATGGAGGTGGGTGAAGATGAACCACTATTTTGGCACTGAAGTATAAATGTAGTGAATTTAATTACCTTTTAAGAATCACTAATTCTATTTTCATAACCTTTAATATATCTCAATTCACTTTTAAAATTCATGTATAAATAAAGGACATCCTGAAAGGAATCCTTTTAAACTCTGTATTAATTCAGTATTAATGAATCTTTCAAAAATACCTCTACTTACAACTTCTAAACCATGATCCAAGAAGTTCAAGTTACTAGCTCTATAGATTATTTAATACTGTGGTTTCAAAAAATAAGTTCAAAATGAGTTTTCAAAATTTGGGATAGTTCATTATTTTGGTTTATGATTAGGGCTCTTTCCATGTACAGAGTCAGTCATTCCTGAGGTTACCAGGGGACCTATAATTTCTGCCAAAGCATATTACTCTATTCATTTAAAAACAAACTATGAAAACTTATCTGTGCAAAACTGGCCAACTGACATTAAAACAGCATCTAAAACTAACATTCTACAGTATCATTTTTGGAAAATGCTGCTCAATCAATAGCATGATCTAGAAGATAATCCAACAGCAAAAATAATTCTCAAAATACTGCTGCTCTGGAAACACAAACTACCAAAATCTCTATGACTACCATTATCTTCTGTGCTATTAAAAATACAACTATATTTGTTCAGTTTCATAAGCCCTTTTCCTGTTCCTCAACACCCCACAACACCTGTTCAATAAATAATCTTCTTCCAAAATTAGCAAAACCAAAAACCTCAATCAAAATGCTTTGGATACGCAGCTTAGAGCTTTTTCTTTATGATCACATTATAGATTCATCCATTTATTGCTCTATTTTGTTTAGGCCCCTATGATTGCCCAAATGTCACTGTCAAATTGAAATACCATGTGTGGGGCCTCCTCAGTGTAATAAATGCTTTGGTTATTAAACTGGGGCCAGACTTGTAAGGCTTCTTCACCTATTCCTTTGTGGTGAACTTCTTTAAATGAGGTGAGCAAATAAACTATGCAAGCACAGTAACAGGACTGTTTGAAATGTACTGTCAAGGAGGGCAACAAAATACAACAATTAGGCTAAGGTGAACAAGCAAAGCAGTGAACAACTGGTTTTTAAAACTGAAAAGCCTGGGCCCTACTATCAGATTTTGTCAAAGGAAACTCAATGAAGAACTAAAGATTACAATACAAAATGAAGCTTAAAAATCCCAAAGTCAGCATAAATGATCCAGGCCAGTTTTTAAATATATTCTTTTGCAGGTGATTGGATTACCATATTTCAAGTTTAAAAACTCCCCAATCAAAGAAGCATCTTGGGTTGAGACAAGTTAAAAGGTGATACTATATGTGCAACTCTGAATCAATGAAATATGGTAATTGCTGAGAACTAAAGAGAATATTTGAGAAAAATTAACCTGATACATTATTAAATTCTTCCTCACTGGAGATGTTTAAAAATAAGACACTAGTGGGAAGGTAAATATTTTATATAATTTTTGCCATACAATTTAGATTTCCTTGGGACACAGCAGGTGAAAATTCAAATGATCTGGAGCACCTTCCAGTTTTACTTTGTAGAACTTAAGGTAATATACACAAATATCAAATCATTATGTTATACACCTGAAACTCATACAATGTTATTTCTAACTGAACCTCCATTTAGAAAAAAAAGAACTTAGTAAGATGGAAAAAAGTGACAAGAGGAAAAACAGAAACTGGAGAAATAGTCTACTCTAAACACCTAAGCCTTTATTAATCTTTTTAAAACATCAGTTTCTTTTATGTTAAATAAGCAATCTTTCATGCTAGCTACAACATTCTGATTAAGGCATGCACTGCATTTCCAGGGAAGTTCAACATTTGTTTCACCTCTACTGAAATAACTATATTAAAGTTCAAAATGGGCCCACATGGAAAAAAAAAAAAAAATCTGATCAGCAATATTTGTTCATAAGTTGCCCTCAATTACATGTACTTAAAATATAAAGCCAGAATTTTTAACATACTTGATTAAAAGAAATATTTTAACATGTGGCTTTAAACGAGGGTGATCACATATCCTGGTTTGCTTAAAACTGTCTCATTTTATGCTTCCTTGGTCCAATTATAAACAGCACCCCATGGCACCTGGGTGGCTCAGCTGGTTAAACACCAGACTCTTGGTTTCAGCTCAGGTCACGATCTCATGGGTCATGGGATCAAACGCTGAGTCCTAGCTCTGCACTGGGCTCCAAGTTCAGTGGGAAGTCAGCTTGATAGACTCTCTGCCTCTGCCCGTCCCCCTACACATGTGAGTGCACCCATTCTCTCTCTCAAATAAATAAATCTTAAAAATAAAATAAAAAACAGCGCCTCCTGTTACTACTATAAACATCCCAATTTCGACAATAACTATCATGATACTCTATTTAACACTGATACCTGAAAAAGTCAAAGTGTAGAAAATTAATGATCAACTAGAAATAGGAGTAAAGTCAGTCATTTTTCTCAGATGAATCACTTCTGATTTTAAGTACTAGATACACAGACACATCAAAGCGAAGGTCTCTGGAAATACATGCAATGACAGCTGCCCAACATTTATTTATTTTGACCCAAGGATACTATAGCAAACCTTAATGCTTGATTTGTGCTGTAAGAATGACTTCCATTTATCCCTGAGTTTAATGTAGGAAACGTCTTCTTAGGGGAGCTCCTGACCAATGATTATAAATAATAGTTTAGATTATTACAATCTAATTGTACAATCATTAGATTCATTCCCAAACAGGCAGTCATGGCACAGCAGTAAATCTACTGTTAATAATGACAGCTTGACTAGAACATTTTTGTGAATCAAGACTGCACTGTAGACACCTCACCTTTTCCCAATTCCAGCTGCCTGTTCTTCAATGAACACAATTTGGGAAAGAAGAATGGCCATGCAGCACTCCTAGAAGGAAACCACACAAAACAGGATTCATAAGACTCTTTGTCAGAAACCTTGGTTTTATAGTATTTAAGAGTGTCATATACTTTTGAGGTACTTAATAATAAAACAATTTTAAAAATCATAAAATGATTTTATTCCTTAAATAAGCTGAAGGAAAAATGGAATGAAAACAGTACTGCGGTGGCATTTTGCTGCATAGAAAAACATAAGAGGTTTATTTTTTTAAAGATTTTATTTATTTATTCACGAGAGACACAGAGAGAGGCAGAGACAGAAGGAGAAGCAGGCAGGGAGCCCGATGTGGGACTCGATCCCGGGGCAACGGGATCATGACCTGAGCTGAAGGCAAATGCTCAAACGTTGAGCCACCCAGGTGTCCCAACAGAAGAGGTTTAAAAGCCACTGTAACTACCAAACCAAGAAAAGAACAGAACAGGTAAATCAAAACAACTTTAAGGAGTGTGCTATACAGGTGATTTTTTTTTCTTTTTAAATTTTCTGTATTTCATTCACCATTTTTAACAGAAAATACTGATATAGGTTCCCTTTATTAGCACATTTATTTTTAAGTTATTATAAATGACTGGCATTTAATAGGTCTAAGGGTTTCTAAATTAGTCTCTTTATATGATAATCAAAAAAATTATACTAAGATTAATTTATAAATGTTTTAAGGATACCTATCCTTCCAACAAAGACTTCTTTCCTAAATGTATACTTCTTTAAAAAGAATTAGACACCATTAATAGGTGTAGGTATGTATTACCAACGAGGATAATACCACCACTAAGGGAACAAAGACTGATTCTTGGGGGCCAAAGAGAGTCAGATTTTGCAATAATTAGTGACCTTTCAAAAAGCCTCAGTACAGGGGCACTTAGGTGGCTCAGTCGATTAAGCATTTGCCCTCAGCACAGGTCACATGATCTCCAGGGACCTGGGATCAAGTTCTGTGGGCTCCCTGCTCATCAGGGAGTCTGCTTCTCCTTTTCTCCCTGCCCTTCCCCCTGCTTGTGCTCTCTCTTTATTAAATAAAATATTTTAAAAAAACACACAACAACAAAAAACCAAAGAGCCTCAGTACAGTATATAGTTTGCCTATAAAGTTAAAATTTCATGGTGAAGGGTGCAGCAATTATGAAAATAAAATAGATTATTTTACTTGGCAACACTGAAATTTACATACACATACACTTTGAAGTTAAGCTCTTTGGAATAAAAATAGCTTTATATATATATAACTTGTTCTCTCTTCCTAGAAATGAAAAAGAAAGGAGTTTTCTCCTCTTGCTGAGTGACTTAGAGGCTATTCTTCTCAATATCTAGGTAAAAGCATGTACTCCCCTGCAGACCTATCCTTCAGATTATCAGAAACAGGTTACTCTGAGGATCCCTGGCAACAAATGGTTTGTTGTTGCTCCCATTACACATAAAACATTCAGCTATGGGGTATATTCTCACTGGGGTTTAAAAACAGGAGTGAGAGCAGCCCGGGTGGCTCAGCGGTTTAGCACTGCCTTCAGCCCAGGGCCTGATCCTGGGGACCCAGGATGGAGTCCCACGTCGGGCTCCCTGCATGGAGCCTGTTTCTCCCTCTGCCTGTGTCTCTGCCTTTCTCTGTCTCTCATGAATAATAAATTCTTTAAAAAAAAAAAAAAAACAAACAGGAGTGACCATGATTCTCTCTCTATTCAGCAAATGAGGGACAACCCCGAAGTCCTCTGTCTGTACTCCATTCAGAGAGATCACATGAGACACGTTCTTTTAACATTCTGAAAATGGAAATTTATTACATTTTTTAGTTAAGAAAGAGATAAGGGACCTCAGTGATTTTAAACCTAGAACAGATTAAAAAAAAAACCTTTATCTTACATGATTTTTCTGATCTCTCCAAATTAGTCGGTGTGTACTGAGAAGGAGGGTGCCGGCATCAAATTTTATCTAGAAAGAGAAGATCATCACAAAACATTAATGATGTATATCAATGTGGTTCAGATTTTCTTCCTCATGAATTACACAATAGTAAGTTAATCATAAAAACATTTGAGAATTAGGCTTACCACAAATTAAGGAGAAACAATGCTACACACTTCATAAGCCATATATGTCTTGTGTGTGTGTATGGTTCAGTAGTTGAGCGTCTGTCTGCCTTTGGCTCAGGGCGAAGTCCTGATCAAGTCCCACACACACATACATGTACAGCCTTAATAAAATTATGAAAAAAAAATCGCAAACAACCTAGATGTGTAAAAACAGGCTAGTGGTTAAGTCAAGTATGATACATTCATACTGTGGAATCCATACAGACGTTAAAAAAGAAATGAGGAAGAACTATATGGACTATCATAGAATTCTACAAGAGTTAGCGGACAAAAGCAAGCAACTTTACAGCATATCACATAGAATGTAATTGGATAGATAATCTCCATACACCCCAAAATACATTGTGAGATATATGCATTCTGATTCAGTTGTTAAAATGTGGGGGGAAGGGGTGAGAATGGGCATTTAGAATTGACGAAATATGGTAAATTCTCCACATAAAGTGAAAAAAAAAAAAAGCAAGATTCAGAACTTTGTATGCATAGTATTATTACAAATTTGCATTTTAAAAAAGGAAATACAATCTACTTTATACAAATATCTATGCATGATACATATGCACAGTTCTCTAGAATGATGCCCTGGTAGCCTCTGAGGGGCTACTGAGTGACAAAGAGACAAAGGTGAAACGGAGATTTTTTAACTGCAGGCTTTTTGGGCTTTGGGGACTTTTGTCATGGGATCATGTCACCTACTCAAAATAAAAATGTAATAAAGTGTAAAAACTATTTTTAGGGACGCCTGGGTGGCTCAGTAGTTGAGCGTCTGCCTTCGGCTCAGGGCATGATCCCTGGGATCGAGTCCCACATTAGGCTCTCTGCGAGGAGCCTGCTTCTCCCTCTGCCTATGTCTCTGCCTTCTCTCTGTGTCTCTCATGAATGAATGAATGAATGAATAAAATCTTTAAAGAAAAGAAAGATATCTTTAAAAAATAAAAAATAGGGATCCCTGGGTGGTGCAGTGGTTTGGTGCCTGCCTTTGGCTCAGGGCGCGATCCTGGAGGCCCGGGATCGAATCCCACGTCCGGCTCCCGGTGCGTGGAGCCTGCTTCTCCCTCTGCCTGTGTCTCTGCCTCTCTCTCTCTCTCTCTGTGTGTGTGTGACTATCATAAATAAATAAAAATTTAAAAAAAATAAAAAATAAAAAAAATTAAAAATATTTTTAAAAAACTATAACACAATCACACACACAAAAAATGCCATCTATGTCTTTAGGACCATACCCTTAATCCTCATCATTTATTATTATGCATTGAAAATTATATAAAATAAGCAAATTTTAGAGCTGAAACCCAAGAGATAAGATATCAAATCCCTTCATTTGTGTTAAGATCAAGAAATATATTGGAAGCTTCTATTAACTCTAATTACTAGGAAGTAGAATTTGTCCTAAGGTAGGACTTACTTGTATCCTTTTCTAAGGAGTAATTAGTTATTTCAAAAGTTAAAAGTTGGTCCCATTTTAAGGCTACCTTGCAAGACAAATTCAGAGAGGGAAGAGAAGGTGCGTGCAAGATGGGTGAAGGGGAGTGAGATTTAAGGGCTTCCAGTTACAGAAGGAATGTCATGGGAACAAAAGGAATATGATCAATGATACCAGATTCACATTAGGACAGGTGGTGGCTACAGTTGTGAACACAGCATAGTACATAAACCAGTCAAATCACTATCTATGTTGTATGCCCCAAACAGAACATTGTGTGTCAACTACACTCAAAATTTAAAAATCCTTTAATTAAAAAAGAATAACTTCAAAGGAAAGCATTTTCACTAGGGTCCAGTTTATCAGAAATAATCCTTTGGAATTTAAAATATTGTGGTTAAAAATAAATAAATAAATAAATAAATAAAAGAATGTGGTTACAAATGTCTATCACATGAATAACCAATTAGAACATTGTTATATTTCATTCTTAAGTAAAAATAATCATAAATTTAATTAAGTATGCAAATTGAGATTTAACATATTACAAGATACTCATGATATTAACAAATAAAAAAGTAGGTTTCAAAGTAGTATACATAGCATGATTATACACACAGCCACAAACACATAGAAAATGTGCCAAAAGTAACTGTTTACGGGTAGCAGGATTGCTATTATTTCAAGTTTCTTCTTTTGGCTTGTCCATATTTAACAACTTTATTATTTGTTTAGTAAAAAAATTTAAAAATTGTTAGAAACATATATAACAATTTCCTGTAATCTGGAGTGTGTATAAATTTTTTGTTAAGTCAAACATACACAGAAATACTGTTTCTGTCAGAAAAACTCTTTGTATAATCGATAAGCAGTACAGTTTTAATATGAATTTTTAAAAATTGTTTTCTAAGAGCAAGGTATGACTGTACTAGCAATATGTTAGTAATCATCAATATGGTTATAAGCTTTAGTGATAAGAGACCTAATGAACTATCTAGTCTAAAAAACTCTGTTAAGAGATCATTCCACAAAACTATTTCAACACCTCAGAGAAAACACTTGATGAATTCCATGTTTTCTACTAAATCGGAAGTAAAGGGGATCCGTGGGTGGCTCAGCGGTTTAGCACCTGCCTTCGTTCGGCCCAGGGCATGATCCTGGAGTCCCGGGATCGAGTCCCACATCAGGTTCCCTGCATTGAGTCTGCTTTTCCCTCTGCCTGTGTCTCTGCCTCTCTCTGTGTGTCTCTCATGAATAAATAAAATCTTTAAAAAAATAAAAATAATAAAAAATCAGAAGTAAAACATACATACTCCTGGCACTTGATTCAGTCTGGCTTCAAATGTTTATAGCAAAACCAAATTAATTGAGCTTTTGAGACTTTAAAAACCTCTTTTTTGTCAATGAGTAAGATTTCCCCTTTATAAAAAACAAATATTTTATCAACTTGAGAGTACATGATGTTACATTACAGCATAACAGTTCTGATTAAGAAAATGCACTTTCTTTTACCGAAATTCCAGCATAGGGGTGTGAACTTAAAGCTGAAGGCAGAGTATATTCCATTGCTATGTTAATTAACAATGTGCAAACATAAAATGCTGCTGCTTTAAGTCAAGAAATTGTGTAATACTTCCCTTCAGGGATTCCAAGGGATTATGAGCTAAACCTGATAGACAAGTTTAGGCTGGTTTACTCCTGCCACTCAGAGCTAGAATAATTTTAACTACTTAAAGGTTGATCTAATGTAGACATGTGCTGGATAAGCTCTTACCCTGTTTTGTTTTATTATTTAGCATTTTTCTGTTTTGTAACAGAAATTATTATTATTTTATAATAATACACAGAAAATTTGGGAAAAAATTTAAGTCTAAAAAAGAAAATGAAATCACTCATTATCATACCAGCCAGAGTGTATGTGTATATACCCACACATATATATACATATGCATACATATGTGTGCATGTGTAAATAATGTTTAAATAGAATGAAGTCATCATATTTATAGTTTTATAACTTGCTGTTTTTCAATTGGTGGCCCTTCATTAGCAAGCCCTCATGTTGATTAAGGCCTGTCATATTTAATTAACTAAATCCTTTGGTGGACATTCAGATTGCTCCCAATTTTCTCTCTATGTAATAATGTAGAATATATATAAAAATGCTGAGATGAGCATCCTCATTCATTATATTTTTATGTATCTCTGATTATTTCTCAAGGGTAAATTCCTAAAAGTGAAAGAGCTAGATGAAAGAAAATAGACATTTTCTAAGTCTCCTGGAATATGCTGCCAACCTGCCACTTTATTATACATTACTAACCTGCTTTCATTTTATTTTTAAATTAGCTGAGGCTATAGAAGCTTCTGTGGATTTAAACAAATGACCTGTATATGCTGCTTAAGAAAACAACATACTATCCAACCATAAGGGGCCCATGAAAACTATGCCTGCAGAAACAAGCAAGCACACATTTATTCTCATGAGACACTTGGGTGTTTGGGCAGTGGGAAAAGCAGTACTGTGGTTCCACCCAATACTACGTGTGTGACCTCAGGTCATAGTTTTCTCTTTTTTTTTTTTTTTTTTAAAGATTTTATTTATTTGTTCATGAGAAACACAGAGAGAGAGGCAGAGACACAGGCAGAGGGAGAAGCAGGCTCCCTGCGGGAAGCCCGATGTGGGACTCGATCCTGAGACCCCGGGATCATGCCCTGAGCCAAAGGCAGGCGCTCAATGGCTGAGCCACCCAGGTCCCCAGCAAGTCACTAAGATAAGTCACTTATTTTCTCATCCATAAAGTATCTCATATGTCCACTGAGAGGATTAAGTGAGGTTATATGTAAAGCTCCTGGCACATAGTAGGTGCTCAAGTTATTCAAGTCTTTTTTTTTTTTTTTTTTTTAATTTTTTTATTTATTTATGATAGTCACAGAGAGAGAGAGAGAGGTAGAGACACAGGCGGAGGGAGAAGCAGGCTCCATGCACCGGGAGCCCGATGTGGGATTCGATCCCGGGTCTCCAGGATCGCGCCCTGGGCCAAAGGCAGGCGCCAAACCGCTCTGCCACCCAGGGATCCCCCTTTTTTTTTTTTTTAAATGTATTTTACACCCACAATGAGCCAAAAGATACAAGAACAAGTAAGGCACACTTTCTGTCCTCCAGGGGTGTCCACCTGTCTAGTAGACAGTCATATGCACACTTGCCTGAGGAACGTGTTGGGATGCAAAGCCATGAAGGCTAAGTAGACTGGACTGGAATGCCCTAGACCAAGGGAGCCAGTGAAAGATACTGAAAGAGGACTTGATCACATCTGGAGGCTGATAAGAGATTCCCAGAATCTTCAGGTAAAGTCTGGAAGCCTTCCAGCAGATGGAAGAAGCCAGGATATGGGGCTTTCCCCGAGGAATCAGCCGAGCCCTCAGCCACACAGGGGACAGCCCAGCCAGTGACCCTTAGATGCAGCTCAGCAGGCTTGTCTGAATTCTGCTTCAATTTCAGGACACCTACATCCCTCCCTCACTACCCTCAGCTTTTACTACAGTTAAGAATTCTTCAGTAGGGCAGCCCCGGTGGCGGTGGCGCAGCGGTTTAGCGCCGCCTGCAGCCCAGGGGCGTGATCCTGGAGACCCTGGATCGAGTCCCACGTCGGGCTCTCTAATGGTGCCTGCTTCTCCCTCTGCCTGTGTCTGTCTCTGTGTGTGTGTCTCTCTATGAATAAATAAAAAAAGAAAGAATTCTTCAGTAGATCAAAGTGACTTAACTAAATTTTTCCCAATACCTTTTGATTAATCCTCTGATAACTACATCTACTTGTCCGCTAAAAGAAGTAGTGTGGGATCCTGCAAAAGTGTGACTTCCATCAGGGGATTGTCTTTAGGGAGTCTTTGAAGGCCAATCTATGATTCTCAGCATTCAATTCTGAGAGGGAGGCATAATCAAACCAGCTGAAAGAGGGGAATTTGATTATGCTTCCCATTTACAAAAGTTCGAAGGTGTTTGAAATGTTCAAACATTTAGCTTGTCAGAAAAACGTTTAGCTAGTCACTCCGACCAGAAGATGCAAACCTAATTTGAGGTCAAGTTCACTAAAGTGCTGAGGCAGGAAAAGGAGTAAATCTAAGCAAGTTATTTTAAGAAAAAGACCCTGTCTTGGTCATGGAGGCAACAGAGTACACGGAAAATACCTTCAGGGAGGCAGAACACCTGGGTCCCATGTCACATCAACTGTGCCCCTAGATAGCTGGGTGACCCTGTCCTCCATGACCTAGGAGGAAGGAAGTCTCAAGCTTCTGCAGGCACCGACCAGGAAAAGCTATGAGTCAAGGAACAAACGCAAAAGTACAGAGGCAAGTTTCATTAACAAAACCACGAAGAGGAGACAGCAAGTGAAAACTTCTGGAAACTAAAAATGCTGGTGAACAAGCGGGTTTTCAGCATTCTTCTGATTCCAACTTACACGTTTCAACCAGAAGGGGTTAGCAGTTTTCCCAGAGCCCTCCAAGCAGTCCTAACGGCTGACTTGCCTCAAGCTTGTGCCCTCCTTACTGGCTGACCCAAGCCCCCCTCGGTGTGCACAGAACCCAACTCCTTCCCTGGAGGCCTGCAGACCACTGGCCCTGAGGAGTGAAGGACCAGACTTTTCCAGAAGATAAGGCCTGACTGCTTTGGAGAACAGCTGCGGCCAATGCCCCGGGTCTGCTCAGGGCCAGGTCCACCTCGCACCAACCGCCAGGGCACCTGCTGCTCCTGCACGGAGCGCCTCCCTCCTTCCCCTTCCCCTTCCCCCTCCCCCTTGCCCTAGAAGCCCTTCGGCTTCGCCGGGACGCTGAGGAGGGTCCTTGGGACCTCAGCCCCCGGTCTTCGGGGGTCGCCCGCTTCCGGAACAGAGCGGCCTCCCCGCCCCGCCCCCCGGCCCGGCCCGAGCCTCGGGGGCGCGCATCTGCCCGCGGGGCGCAGCCTCAGCTGAGCGCAGGCGGCTCCGCGCGGCCGCGGTGGGACGCGAGTCCGCCACGCGCAGTCCGGGGCGCTTCGCCGGCCAGCGCGTCCCCTCCCTACGGTGCCCGGGTGACGAGCGCGACCTACCACATCGCTTCACAAAACGAACGCTCAAGACTCCTTTCCAAAGTCATTCCAGAAAAACAACAACAACAAAAAAAAAACAAAAAAACAAACAAACAAAAAAAACCGGCGAGGGTGCGGGGCGGGGAAGAGCCTCGAGGCGTCCCAGCGGGACCCGGACACGCTTCTCGGAACCCCCTGCAGGGCGCCCCCGCCGCACCCCGGTCACAGCGGTGTCACTCGCGGGGGGCCCGCCGCGGCCCGCCGTCCCCACGCCCGATCCCGGGCCCGAGGCGCAGGCACCCGGCCGCAGGTCCGCCGCCGCCGCCGCCGCCGCCGCCGCGCCCGGGCTCCGCGGCCCGAGCCCCGCGGGGTGGGGGCCGTGCGCCCGGAAGGAGGCCCAACGGGCGGCCAGACCGCGCGCCGTCCGGGAGCCCGCCCCCTACCTTCTCCTCGCCGTCGTAGATGCGCACCCCGCGCTGCTGGACCACCAGGGTCTCGTTAATCTCCAGGAGGCCGCTGGTCCACACGAAACGGTCCATGGCGGCCGCCCCGCCGGCCTCGCCGCTCGCCCGCGCGGGCGCTCCGGGGCGGCGAGCCGAGCGCCGCGCAGCCTGCGGCACCCCCTGGCGGCGGGCGGGGCGGAGGCCGGGCGGGGAGGCGGCCCAGGACCCGGGGCCCTGCGGGGAGCGCCACCTGGCGGGCGGGCGGCCTGGGGCTCGGCGGGAGCGTCCACCCGGTCCTTTGTCCGGCTTGGGCTCGGATCTGCAGCCTGAAGCTTACGGGTTGAGGGCGGTGGGGACTTTGGGGGGCGCCGGGCCACAGCCTGGACTTCCTTACTGAGCATTATTCCTGCACATGTGTGCCGTTTCCTTGGCGATGCCCAGCGTGTTGCCACGTTCATTAAAGGTTGTAGCTATTGGGGGATCCCTGGGTGGCGCAGCGGTTTGGCGTCTGCCTTTGGCCCAGGGCCCGATCCTGGAGACCCGGATCGAATCCCACGTCGGGCTCCTGGTGCATGGAGCCTGCTTCTCCCTCTGCCTGTGTCTCTGCCTCTCTCTCTCTCTCTGTGTGTGACTATCATAAATAAATAAAATTTAAAAAAAAAAAGGTTGTAGCTATTGATACTGTGACTTTTCTTTTCAATTAAAGTTTTATCGCCTGAACTGTTTTTGTTTTTTTTTTTTTTTTTTATACAGCTGCAATCAATAGGAAAGTACGTGGGTGGCTCAGTAGTCTACCGTCCGCCTTCCTCTCAGGGCGTGATCCCGGGTACTGGGACCAAGTCCCACATCAGACTCCCCTCAGAGACCCTACTTCTCGCTCCGCCTCTGCCTCTGTCTCTGCCTCTTTCTGTGTCTCTCATGAATAAACAAAATCTTTTTAAAAAGGTATTATCTTGTGCCCCTCTTTCTTCCCCATTAAGATCATTGTCATTTAAACATTTTCAATATGAACACGGACCTCATGAATTTAGTATACAGATCTTCCATCATTTTTCTGTGCCACAAACTGGTCCATGGATGCTGCTAGCACCTGCTGGGCTTCTGTCACTGCCTCTCTCATTTACATAGTTTACATTATAAATGGAACACCTATAGTAGTACTTGTACAACTGATATATTTTTGGGCCTTCAGGGATTATTTTCTTAGAGTGTCTTCCCAAAATAGAATTACTGCTTTAAAGAGTTTGCACACATTTTAGGCAGCTTGCTACATATTGGGAACTTAACAAGGATGCAGTGCCACCTGCAGATTGGTCTTTTTTCCAAGGCCAAATAGTTGTGTCTATATTAGACATTATCATTTTCGTTATTTTTGCTACTTGACAGAGATTTTATTTTTTGATTCATTTACTGATGAGGCTATTTCTCAATACTATTTAATCAAAAGAAAAAAAATTTTTAAAGTAGCCCCAACATGGGGCTTTAACTCACGACCCTGTGATTAAAAGTCAGATGCTCTAGCAACAGAGCCATCCAGGTGCCCCAGTCAAAGGAAAATCTTGTCCCAAATAATGCCTAACACCCTGTGAGGTTGGACAGCCTCCATTAAGAGGATAAGATTATTAATTTAGACCAGATTAACACAAGTAAGGAGAAGAAAAGGCACAGCAAAGAAGACAGAGAAGGAGCACTAGTGAGATAGGACAACCAGGAGAGAATGGTGTCCTGGAAGCTAAGAAAACACGGTATATCAGGGAGAAGGAAAAAGCCGGTGTAAAATTCTGCCCACGGGTCAAGTCCATGGGACTGAATATGGCTCACTGCTTTTACCACGTGGAGTTATTTGGCAGCCTTGACAAGAGTGCCTGCAATGGGGGGGGGGGACTGGGGGGCGGGACAAGTCTGAATGGAGCAGTTTTAAAAGAGAAAGAGAGGAATTGTAGGTAGGGAACATAGACAACTCCTTTGAGGACTTTGCTGCAAAGGAGAGCAAAGAAATAGGCTGGTAACAGGAAGGGGAAGTGAGGTCAACAGGGAGTTTGGGTGGCTTGTTGATTTGTTTTCCAGGTGGAAAAAAAATAGTATGTTTGAGTACTGATAGCAGTGAGAGAGAGGGGAGACCTGCTTGAGTGATGTCCTTGAGAAGCTGAGAGAATGCACAAGAGAGGGTCAGAGATGTGGCTATTATCAGAGGAGAGCAGAGTATGTGAGGCAGATGAATTTTTGTGATGGGAATCTGCAAACATTCTCTGGAACTGCTTTGGTTTTCTCAGAGGAGGAAGCAAGACTAGAAGAAGAGAGAGGTGTGAGGAGTTATGAACACACTAGGATACTGATTGCCTGGCCTGCTTGAAGTTTCCCGATGTGTAATTTTTTTTTAATTTTATTTATTCATGGAAGACACACAGCGGCAGAGTCAGAGAGAGAAGCAGGCTCCCTATGGGGAGCCCCATGCAGGACTCAATCCCTGGACCCCGGGGTTACACCCTGGGCCAAAGGCAGACACTCAACCACTGGGCCACCCAGGCGCCACCCCACGCCCCCCATGCAATTAAAGTGAAGTCAGAGGAGCAATACTCCAGCCCCATTCAGAGGCAAAACCAAATGGGAGAGTAGGAAAGCTATGGATTTAATTAGGCACGTAGTTTTGCCTGGTCATGGATTGGGAAGGGAAGGGTCTAAGCAAGTCCAACACTAGACTACCTCTGCCTTTGTAAGTGATCTGTTCTGTCTGCCTGGAATCTATAAGATTTTCTCATTATCCTTGAGGTTCAGAAATTCTATCAGGTCAGAGATTCCGGGTGTATATCCCTCCTCATTTTCCTGCCTGTGAGATAATGACGCTTTTCAATTTGAAGACTCGAGTTGCTGTCTTCTTCAGAAAGATATTCTTCTATTATTTTTTTTAATTTTTATTTATTTATGATAGTCACAGAGAGAGAGAGGCAGGCGCCAAACCGCTGCGCCACCCAGGGATCCCTATTCTTCTATTATTAATTTGATTATTATTTCTGGTCTATGTGTTATTGTTTGTTTGGGTTTTTTTTTTTTTTGCCCCCCTGGGACCTTTATTTATTTTAAGCCCGTCATAACTGTCTCCCATGACCCCTACTTTTTCTCCTACCATATTCATTTCTATATATTGGGGGGCTGAATTTGTGTTTTTCACAGTGACCATTCACTTTTCCAAGTCTTCTGAATTTTTAAATTGGGAATTCTTTTAAGTTCTAGAATAATTTATTTTTTTAAAAGATTTTATTTATTCATGAGAGACAGAGAGAAACAGAGACACAGGCAGAGGGAGAAGCAGCCTCCTTGTGGGGAGCCTGATGTGGGACTTGATCCCAGGACCCTGGGATCACGCCCTGAGCCAAAGGAAGATGTTCAAGCACTGAGCCACCTAGGCATCCCTAGAATAATGTTTTAGTTCCAGAAATACCTGAGTGACTGTTCCAATGACATCTACGTAGAGTTCTATTTTATTTTTTAAAGATTTTTATTTATTTATTCATGAGAGACACACACACACAGAGAGAGAGAGGCAGAGACACAGGCAGAGGGAGAAGCGGGCTCCATGCAAGGAGCCTGATGTGGGACTCGATCCTGGGTCTCCAGGATCACACCCTGGGCTGCAGGCGGCGCTAAACCGCTGCGCCACCGGGGCTGCCCTCGTTTTATTTTTAATAAAGTTTTCTTCTATGACATCCCTGAGTACACCCTCCACAGAGGTGCCCTATTCTAATTTCTCTTGTTCCTTCTGCTTTAAGCCACTGTCTCCTTAGGTGTCTTATAGTCACCTTTGCCTTTCAGTATCCGTGTACGTGAAATCTCACAGCGCCTATGTAAGGCTGCCTATTAAAATCTCACAAGGACCCGTAGGCAAGGAGGTCAGTAAGTTGAGAACATCTCTTCTGAGTCACTTCAAGACAGGTCTGTCTCTTAGTTCTCAGCCTACTCATTTATTCAACAAGTATTCCAAAAATATTTATTGAATACCTGCTATGGTCAGGCACCATTCAACTCCTCTCCGGTACTGCTGGCAAGAGAAGCCCCTGGTTTCTCCCAAGCTGGGCAGGATTGGCATTCAGGCAAGGGGAGGGAGGGAAGCATTCCTCTTGGGTGCAAAACTTAGTGGGGGGGAGGGTGCCAAAAAATTCAGTAATCCATATGAATGATAGGTTAAAGCAATATGTGTGGGTTTTTGTTCTTTTCTCTTAATTGACTATATTCCCCATTCTGTACCTTGTATTCCCATGACTTATTCATTTCATAACTGGAAGCCTGTATCTCCCACTTCCCTTCACTCATTTTGCCCTCCCCTCCATCCTCTTCCCCTCTGGCAACCATTAGCTTGTTTTCTGTGTTTATGGGTCCTTTTCTGCTTTTTGTTTATTCATTTGTTTTTTAGATTCCACATATGAGTGAAATCATATGGTACTTGTCTTTCTCTGACTTATCTCACTTAGCAGAATGCCTTCTATGTCCATTCCTGTTGTCACAAATGGCAAGATGTCATTCTTTTTACGACTAATACTCCTTGTATGTATATATACCACCTCTTCTTTATCTATTCATCTATCAATGGACACTTGGGTTGCCTCCATGCCTTGGCTATTGTAATTAATACTGAAATAAACACAGAGGTGCATATTTCTTTTTGAGTGAGTGCTTTCACTTTCTTTGGGTAAATAACCAGTAGTGGAATTACTGGATCATATGGTAATTCTATTTTTAGTTTTCTGAAGAACCTCCATACTATTTTCCACCAAATTTGAGAACATTTCTTTTGAGTCACTTCAAGACAGGGCTCGTGGTTCTCACTCTACTCACTCATTCAATGTTTATCAAAAAATATTTATTGGATATTTATTGAGCTGCCACTGTTCAACTCCTCCGTGATGCTGCTGGCAAGAGAAGCTGCTGGTTTACCTTTCCACCAAATTGCACAAGGGTTCCTTTTTCTCCACATCCTCACAAACACTTATTTTTTCTCATCTTTTTTAACTTAGCCATTCTGAAAGGTATAAAGTGATATCTCATTGTGGTTTTAATTTGCAGTTCCCTAATGTTTAGTGATGTTGAGCATCTTCTCATGTATCTGTTGGCCATCTGCATGTCTTCTTTGGAAAAATGTCAATTTAGGTCCTCTGCCCATTTTAATTGGATTGTTTGGTTTTGGGGGGTTGAGTTCTATAAGTTCTTCACATATGTTGAATATTAACCCCTTAATGGCTGTATCCTTTGCAAATATGTTCTCCCATTCAGTAGGTTGCCTTTTAGTGCTGTTGTTGGTTTACTTGGCTGTCCAAAAACTTTTTATTTTGGTAAAATAAAGCAGT